GAAACTCCACATGGTAAGACATTGGGCAAAAAAGTGCCCTTGTCTAAACTGCTGACAGTATGCTATCCAAAACGGACCGGCAGGACACCAATAAGAGTGACTGCACCCTGGCCAAGACAAGGAGTTCTGGTCCTTCAGAGTATCCCGTTTCACAGAAGTGTGTGTCTGATATGCTAGGACTGTAGACTGAAGATGGGTTCCACAACATTGCAGAGAAACCTTTGATGACTGTCCAGGCAGCCAGCTGTTTCTGTCATTTTTCATATTTTTTTGAGGTCGCTTGCTCTCACTTCCTGTTTACTCAGTTAATACTATTTCCTTCTCGGGTGTCTGAGGGAGTTGAAGTCTGGATAGTATAGTTATAGTTTTCCTTGTTTACCAGACTCAGTAAAGAAATTCACTAAAGATGTGTTAAGTGTCATAGGTTTGACACTATAAAATAATTTGATAATGTAAATTGGAATAGAAATTAAATTATATACAAGACTCTGTACTCATCAAGAAAGAATAGATAATGGAGTATTTTCCCCAAATTTGTCAAATAGTAGTGGACTGGACATTGTTGATGTACTTATTGCTTGTATATATTGTTCATAGTTATTGTATATATTTTTTCTTGTATTAGTTATAACCTTTTTAAATTTTAGACAAAAGGGGGCATATGTTGTGATATCTTGCTTGTACAAGTAAAGTCTGTCTTAAGGTCAGAGGGTGGAGTTTGCCACTACCTAACCATAGAGGTCTGGAGGTCTGTACAGACAGACAAGAATGAGTTAGCTGGGCAGCAACAGGGTATTAGCAGGTAGAAACTGGAACTCACTCTCTTGTCTGCTGAAACCTCTAAGGAGGTAAGGTGTGATGGTGAATTTCTCCTTCTCTCTGCTCTCTCAGGATTTTCCTCTATATCTGACTCTGGGTTTTTATTATTTAGACCAATTAAGAGCTCCATTTACAAGTACCTGTATTTCTCATTTTTCATTCTAGTCTCTGTTCCTTTTAAATTTTCTTTCAACAATTCAACCCTAGAATGTCTCATGTATTATTTCTATAATATCCATTGTAACCCACTAATTTTTCACACTCATTTCAGGGCGTCTAAGCTGGAAATAATTTTCCAACTTTATCTAAATATATGTCATTAGCACAGATCTAGGCTTAGTGGCAAAACTGTCTTACACACTCAGGTGGATACCTGGAAACTAAAATATAATGTGTTTAAAATTCAACTCATTGTCTTCATGGAAAAATCTGCTTCATTCTCATCTTCTCAGCCAGCTCCTTCTGTTGCTGGACTTACTAAAGTTTTGGAGTCAACATGAACTCCATTTTCTTTTTATCACTATGTGTGTGATATATTAGAAAATCTTGTCAACGCTGTTCTTGAAAATTAGCCATTTTACTAAACCACTGGCCACCTCTGATCTGACCCTGTGCAATTTTACATATGAATTGTGAGAAACCCAAGAGAATTTTATTAACTATGAGAACCCTGAGAGAATTTATTTTCTTCCACACCCTCAACATCTAAATAAAGACAGCAAATAGCCCCTTGAAAACACACTTGTCATACAGCAATTGTGCTGAGAGGTCATAATTATTCTCCTTCCCTACCTGTATAAATATGAAAAAGCACAAGTAATCATCAAGAAGGTATAAGGAAGAATCAGAATTTTTAAAGTAATAAAAGAAACCCCAAAAGCAAATGGACAACTTTGATAGTACCTTGATGCTACCAAGCAGTTTAAGTGGAAAAACCATATCATGTAGGAGCTTCAACTTCTGATTCTAAATGTAGTCCTCTCCTTTCTAACTCTGGAAGCACATGGAAGAAAGAAGCATGAATGAAACATGATGCATGTTCCCATATCTGAGATGTTACCCCTGACACCTCAGCATCCTACCTTGACATATGCACTTCAGTTTTTACTATCTGATTCTTTGTTCATTGAAGCTCTTCATTTTCACACCAGTAGACTCCTTCATGAGTCCTAGTTTCTTTGGTGAAGAGGATTATAGGCTGGTAGCTCCATTTACAAGTACCTGTATTTCTCATTTTTCATTCTAGTCTCTGTTCCTTTTAAATTTTCTTTCAACAATTCAACCCTAGAATGTCTCATGTATTATTTCTATAATATCCATTGTAACCCACTAATTTTTCACACTCATTTCAGGGCGTCTAAGCTGGAAATAATTTTCCAACTTTATCTAAATATATGTCATTAGCACAGATCTAGGCTTAGTGGCAAAACTGTCTTACACACTCAGGTGGATACCTGGAAACTAAAATATAATGTGTTTAAAATTCAACTCATTGTCTTCATGGAAAAATCTGCTTCATTCTCATCTTCTCAGCCAGCTCCTTCTGTTGCTGGACTTACTAAAGTTTTGGAGTCAACATGAACTCCATTTTCTTTATATCACTATGTGTGTGATATATTAGAAAATCTTGTCAACGCTGTTCTTGAAAATTAGCCATTTTACTAAACCACTGGCCACCTCTGATCTGACCCTGTGCAATTTTACATATGAATTGTGAGAAACCCAAGAGAATTTTATTAACTATGAGAACCCTGAGAGAATTTATTTTCTTCCACACCCTCAACATCTAAATAAAGACAGCAAATAGCCCCTTGAAAACACACTTGTCATACAGCAATTGTGCTGAGAGGTCATAATTATTCTCCTTCCCTACCTGTATAAATATGAAAAAGCACAAGTAATCATCAAGAAGGTATAAGGAAGAATCAGAATTTTTAAAGTAATAAAAGAAACCCCAAAAGCAAATGGACAACTTTGATAGTACCTTGATGCTACCAAGCAGTTTAAGTGGAAAAACCATATCATGTAGGAGCTTCAACTTCTGATTCTAAATGTAGTCCTCTCCTTTCTAACTCTGGAAGCACATGGAAGAAAGAAGCATGAATGAAACATGATGCATGTTCCCATATCTGAGATGTTACCCCTGACACCTCAGCATCCTACCTTGACATATGCACTTCAGTTTTTACTATCTGATTCTTTGTTCATTGAAGCTCTTCATTTTCACACCACATTGTAATTGGTAGCACAGAATTACTTGGTCTGGAGTTTGTGGCTTTTGGTAAAGGCACTTAAGATTGTCTTTTTTTTTTTTTAGGGCATGTGGGCTATCCACATTAACTTCCACACCGAAACATATTTACACACACACACACACACACACACACCAGATAATCAAAAGTAAAGTATGATAATATTAAAAAGGAGTTTCACGAGTTCCACAAGTGGAAGGAACTAAAATTTCCATCAACATATGAAGGTATAAACAGTATGTGACATACATGTAAACAAATGCAATGGTATTAACCAATCAATAGTATGAACTACTGACTCTTGCAGTCACATTGATGGATCTCTGTTTTTGTGCAACAGAAACTAGACACAATGAACTATATACGATACTTTTTTCTATTTCTTTAAAAGTACTATTTTTTATGTGCCTACATGTGTGTCTATGCACTACATGTATGTAGTGCCCAAGGAGACCAGAAGTGGGCATCAGATTCTGTTGTGAACTGCCAATTGGTTGCTAAAATCAAACCCTGGTCCTCTGGAAAAGGCGCTGATACTCTTAACAGCTGAGTCAACTCTTCAGCCCTCTTTTAAACTTTTTAGTAAACACTTTTTCGTAGACTCCTTTTTGATAGATATTAATTTTATATTGGAAAGCATATAGAAAAGGTATTATCACCACAACCATTTCTTTCAGAAGAATGAAGTTTTACATATTTCACCCTTACCTTGTATATAATGCACATTGTATGGCCACATTCATTCCATTAAAATTATCACATATTTTACCCTCAAATGTTCTGGTTTAGTGAAAACCCATATATTCTAGGTTTAATAGAATAAAAGAACATGTCTCATCAATACTTTAAATTTACTCTTCCACTCTAAAACTCAGTAATTTGATTATTTTCAATTTACATTTTATGAATATTGAATGAGACTACAAACTATAAAATATTGATCTGCATTTTCACATCTTGTTTATAGTTATATAAAAATGAGGGACTGGGGATGGCCCAGTAGTTAAGGGTAGTTGCTGTGATGTCATGGGACCAGAGGTGTATACCCACATTCATATAATGAGCTAGGTTTCCCATGACTGCTGATAACAACAAGCCCTGTGTGATCAGACATCCTAATGGCACACCTAGCACATATCCATAAATATTTCAAAATTACCTAACAAATGAGGGCTGTAGTAATATCTAAGTCCCTTTTCTTGTTGCAAAATAATACCCAGTAGGTGCCAATGGTTTATCAACCATTAAGCACTATTCTGTGTTGTCCCATTTATACATTTCAGGATTGCACTTGTGACATTGACAATGGAAAAATACAGGAAAACATTTCAAAGAAGACTAACCTTTTCTATTTTAATTTTTGATTAAATTTAATTGCTGAGTATCAAACATTTTTATATGTTTAATTATGGCTTCTTTGTTCTTTGGATATGTTTATATGGTGAGTAGTAGCTCATTATTTCCAATGATGCATGGTCAAGCAGAGGCTTCATAATGTCCAAAGGACAATAAGTGTCTGCAGTATTATAATTATTAAATCAATCAATTCTCCTCAGATATATGTGATAATAAAGAGAAATGTACAGAAAACAAATACTTTGTCAGTATATAGCACTTTGTTTAAAAGTAATCTGTCCTATGAAAATGAATGGCTTCCCTTCTTACATATGAGATAATGCTTTAAATTTACTGCCTCTTCTTTTCTGTTGGCTGTTCATTAGACAGTCAGCTTTATTATTTATACATTAGGCCAAAGCAGTATTATTTAACCATTAGCCAGATATTAGCACTAGTTAGTCATTAGCCCCAGAGTAGAAATTGTTAAACATCAGCCAGTAAATAGGAAAGGTTAACCACCACATTGGATGTGCCAGTTGTTAACCATTAGACAGAAAGCTGATATTTGATGTTCACTGACTTCCCCGTTAGGGTATCAAAAGATTCAGGACTTGCTTTGGCAGAGGAGTGACAGACCATGAGTTCCAAACAGCAGTTGGTCAGACTAAATGATGGCCACTACATTCCTGCTTTGGGTTTTGGCACCTATAAACCCAATGAGGTAAGAATACAAGATACTCTGTATTTGCAGCCTAAAGCTATTCCATGTACAAGAAGGCAGACAGGCTTCTCCTGGATCAAGGTTTGCTTGAGTCCTCACATGTTTATTATTCTGGTTAAACAGAAATTGCAGCAGCTGCAGTTGGTGGCTGTGGGCAGGAGACCAAGCTGGTTCATTAGACAGGCTGAGTCAAGATTGTGTCAGAGTAGGGTATTTATTCATGCTTGTACTTGTCTAGGGGGAAGATCCCTGCTCCTGATAAGGTATCAGAGAGGCATTCTTAATGGAGAACAAAGGGAGGGCCTAACTCTTCAAACATTTTCATTCAGGGTGGGTGTTAGCGTTGTATATGATGGAGATACAAGGTACAAGCTTCAATGACCTTGGGGCATTTACTATAACTCAGTCAGGGACTTCAGGGATAGGGAGAAGGTTTGTTTATAATTACCTGTTTTTTCTTGCTATATGCTAAGGAGTCTGAATTTGGCAAGAAGTGACTATATCTTTTTTTTTTTTTTTTCTGGCCCAGGCCTCTCTGTCAGTTTACTGCTTTTGTTTGGGGCCTGTCAGCTCTATAGGTGAATTTGGCATGAATCTTTAGTCTGTGAGCTCTGGGATTAAAGAAACATGTCTATGACCTAACAATTTTGGCACTATGGTTTCCTATGTCTATGTTTCTCAGCTTGCTAGAAGAGAAGAAAGGCACCAGATTGCTTATCAGCTTTTTTGGTAGCAGTGTGAGAGGGAACTTCTACGTTTATGTTTACAATTCACGACACCATTTTTTTTTTCAATAAGGCAAGATGTAGAAAAATCAGTGTGGTAACTCAGGGTGTCTCCCTGTAGATTAAGGAATGAAACAAATATCTGAGGACTACTTCACTTTTGTTTTGGTGTAGCCTTCTGCATCACACAGTGAGTGCTACACCAGGGCTAAGAAAGGTCTCCCATGTACAAATTCTCAACTGTGGGAAAATTACTGGGATTTATAACATATCCTTATGACAAGGGGAAGGATGACCTAGAAATATAAGTGTGAATTATTGGTCCTCATTAATGCATGTTGGGTTTAGAGCATTCTGGTCTCCAGAACTGAAAACACAAAGGTTTACTGTTTCTTAACCAGGAATGACTTTCTTGTTTTGTAAACCTCCTGAGAAATTTTGATTTTGTGGCAAAGGGCCACTTCCCCTAACTTCAGATTTGTGCACTTCCTTCCTGGTAGCTTTATGCATAGAGAAATCTGGGGATAATCACAGAATTTGTTACTTTTACAAAGTTCACAAAAACAGGTGCAGGTCAAGGCCACTGCTCAATCTCTGGGTTGGTGATTCACAGAGTGGCTTTATTTTACATAAGTCAGAGCTGTTTGGTATTCAGAGAAGGTGGTACAAGCCAGAATTTCACTCACTGTGTTTATATGGAAAGATAACTGTAGAAATTATTAAAATAATCAGAAAAGGTAGTCTGATTTCCTTTTTAACCTCTTTGTATGTGCTGTATGACTTTATATGTTTGTGTGTTTGTACAAGTGTGTGTATGCCGAGGTCAAAGTCTTCCTGCACTTCTCTCACTTTAATTTTTTAACATGGGGTTGCCTAGTCAGTCTGGAACAATATAGTGATTCAGCTATATTGGCAGGCATCACTCCGACTCTGCTCCCCAAAGCACTGGGATCACACCTGTATGCCACCATGGCACACTCTGCTTTTACATGAGGTCTGATGGTCTGAACTAAGATTCTGAGAGTTGTGTCAAACACTTTATTGATTGAGACATCTCCCTAGCCCACATTTTAAGTCCTTTAATGAAAGAATTGTCATATCATTATTGAAATCTCATGGTCAAGGCAATAATTTTAGACGTAATTCCAGTTTTATCATTTTTAAACAAATAATCTTTGTTTGAAAGGGCTGACAACCCAAGTGAATCATCTCCAACTTGATAAAGGTAATTTATTTTTTTATTTTTTAACTTTATTTTTTTCTTCAGATTTTTTTATTTGAATTAGAAACAGGATTGTTTTATATGACAATCCCAGTTCCCTTCTCCCTCCTGTCCTCCCCTACTACCCTCCCCCAACTAAAACCCTACCTATCACATATCCTTTCTGCTCCTCCTGGATGATGAGGCCTTCCATAGGATGTCATCAGAGTCTATCTTATACTTTGGGATAGGGCCTAGGCCAACCCCCATGTGTCTTGGCTCAGGGAGTATTCCTCTATATGGAATGGGCTCCCAAAGTCCACACCTATGCTAGGGATAAGTACTGAACTACTACAGCAGATCTCATAGATTTCCGAGGTTTCCTCATTGAAACCCATATTCCTGGGGTCTGGATCAGTCCCATGTTGGTATCTCAGCTATCAGTCTGGGGAACAAGTGTTCCCCAATGTTCAGGTCAGCTGCTTCTGTGGGTTTCACTAGCCTGGTCTGGACCCCTTTGCTCTTCACTCGTCCTTCTCTGCATCTGGGTGTAGTTCAGTTCGGTGATTAGTTATGGGTGTCTGCTTCTACTTCCATCAGCTTCTGGATGAGGGCTATCAGGAGACATATAAGTCAGTCATCAATCTCATTATCGGGGAGGTCATTTAAGGTAGCCTCTCCTCTGTTGCTTAGATTGTTAGCTGGTGTCATCTTTGTAGATCTCCATGGTAATTTATTTTTAATGAGGATATATTCCCAGGGTTGATTTTCTTTCCTGCCAGTATTTAGGTCTGTCAGACTAAAAGAGTAGATATGCAGAAAGACTAACATAGGACACTCTTCTTTGTCCAAATCCCTATTATTAACCCTATTATTGCTTGGTATCTGAGATCTTTGCTTTCTCATTCTTTTATGACAGTGTCTTAGCTGGGGTCAGGGGGGAGTCTTTATGTAATTGTGCTTTGTCCTAAGCAGACCTCCTTATGTTCATTTTGCTTAGCAACCCCACTACATGAATTGAGTGTGACTTTCAAGCAAGCAGTTTAACCAAGGGTGTGCTTGGCATTCATCAGTGCCAGTAAGTAAGTAGAATACATGGATAGAAAGAGGTTCTTGGATCTGAAAGTCTTTCTATTTCTTAGGAAAGACCCCGCCAAAGTGGATTTGGTTCATTGCCTCAAACATGGGACAAAATATAGGCAAACATCGAGTCTGTGGAGATACTTAGTTTTCTGCGACATCTACAATATTTCTGGAGAACTCATTTTGTTTTACAGAATAGAAAGTGGGAATCAAGGATCAGAGAACTAGGATGTTGCCTAGTCTGAGGATGACTTTGAAAAAGAAAATTCTTTCTAGTCTAGTAAACTTCCATCTAGGCTCCCTTTGAGCTAGCTCTCAGAACATGCATCTCTAAATACTTCTTTTTGTTGTTCCTCTAGGTTCCCAGGTGTAAATCAGTGGAGGCTGCAAAACTAGCAATAGGTGTTGGGTACCGCCATATTGATACTGCTTATGTATATCAAATAGAAGAGGAGATAGGACAAGCCATTCAAAGCAATATTAAAGCTGGTGATGTAAAGAGAGAAGACCTGTTCATCACTACAAAGGTATAGGTTTTACAAGTATACAAGTGCAAATTATTGAAATATACTATAGGGAAGTGAAAATTATGATACTGAACCAGAAATTGGTAAAAGGTGTCAGAAGCATAAACGGGTAAGACAAAGTAATGTTATATTATAATCTCTATGAAAAACAATTCAGTTATTAGTATGAATTCAACTAGTATAATTCAATTAGTAGTGTGAATTTTATTTCTTGAGTAATTTTCTTTCATTGTTCATTAAATAAAGTACCTATAACAAAAATATATAACAATATAATTTACATTGTTAAGTAACAGTAAAGCAAATCGTGGGTTAAAGGGAATGATTATAACTTTACTTCAAGTACAAAAAATATTTCAGTATTAGGATAAATAAGTATGCAGGTTTGAGCAATCTATTAATTAATAACAACTTCCATTCTTCAACATTTGTAGCTTTGGTGCACTTGCTTTCGGCCAGAGCTGGTCCGGCCTAGTTTGGAAAAATCACTGAAAAAACTTCAACTGGACTATGTTGATCTGTACATTATACATCACCCAGTGCCGATGAAGGTAGGTGATTTGTATTGTCAAGTGTATGTAAGTTTGCATGGGGGCATGGATTTCATTTTTATGGATGGCTGAGATAAGTTTTCATTATAATTTCATATAAAGCTGAGTTTTGTCATTAAACCTCTGAATGGGTTCCACAAAGAGTTTACTGGATTATGAAATGAGGTGTCCATTAAATGGTCAGAATGGCAGATTAGAAGTAACTTCCAGGAAAACTTGTATTTATATGTCTTTTATATTTATGTTTATTACTAGATGTTTTCTTGGGTCTTATCCCAATTTTCCTCTCTTGATGGCAAATGTGACTCTAAGATAGTTTCAGCTTCAAGGTCATTGACACTTTGTGGCCTCTCTGCATCTTTTGTTATCACAATCAATCCTGCACACAGTCCTGATTGTTCATCCTTGGCTCACATGCCTTTCCTTATGCCCACATGTATTCATATATATGGGACAGGATAGTTATAAATTCTTGCTGAAGGTAAGGACATGCGATAACTGGGCTTCCCAGTAAATATAAAACATTTTCTTTTTTTCCAAAATAAAGAGTAGACAAAAGAATACAAGCCAATGAGGGGGTCTCATTTTGCTACTTGAAAATATTATTTAGGTGCAGGAATTATATGTGTGTGTGTTTGCATGTGTGTGTGTGTGTGTGTGTGTGTGTGTGTGTTTATGTAACAACAGTTGAAGAGAGGCCAAAAATTTAAGAAACAGCAAGGGCATACATGTGAGGGGTTTGATGGAGGAATGGGAAGGAAGGAAATTATATTATAATTTTGAAAATAAAATTATAAGAAAGAAAATATTTATATTCATGTAATTATTGTCACAGAAAACATTAAAACTAAGCTCCTACAGGTAATTTTTACTACTCCTCATTAGTATCACTTGGTAAACACAGTATATAGTATGATTCTTCACTGTCTTTATGGCTGCTTACTGTCTGATTTCCAATATATTCTTTAAAATTGAAAATATTTGTTTAATGTGCATGGATGTTTTCTTTGCGTGTATGCCTGTGCACTAGTGTATATGGGGACAAAAAGGGGAGTGGCCCCCATAAGACTTTGTCACAAATCCATGTAGGTGCTAGGAATTGTACCCTGGTTTTCTGAAAGAGAAGCCAGTGTCTAATTACTGAGCTATCTCTCCATATCCTCCAGGATATTCTTAAAAGCATTACTATAGGTGAGAAACATGTTTTGTGAGATTTATTTAACAAGCATGTCTCTTTCAGTCAGGGGATAATGATTTTCCAGTAGATGAACAAGGGAAATTACTGTTTGACACAGTGGATTTCTGTGCCACGTGGGAGGTGAGTACTTTTACAAAGGACAATAAAGCAAGAAGAGTAAGGGAGAATCATCTTAATTTCCCTTGGGTATAGAAACTCATTTACATATATACAATTTGCTGGAGTGGAAGAATGAATTACTAAAATGTAAGAGAAGGAAAAAGAAGAAGTATTTAGGATAATAGAATATGTGGTATAATATTAGCACCTTATGTAGCAGTAGCATCAGTTTTCTAGTGATGTCATGAAAATTATTCTTTGGCTAACATCTTATTCTTCATTATCACCATTATCGTGATTTCTTCATATTTAAGTTCAGTGATCATCTGGGCAATCACCCCTCCCCATGTTTTTAGTGTCTGTGATCAAACTTAGGGTCTTTTACACACTGGAAAGTGTTCTGTCACTGATCTATATGTCTAGCTCTAGACAATTTTCCTTATAACCGCTACATCTTGTCTTCATATTGACATAGTCAATTTCAAGTATGACTCTTCATAACCCCTTTCTCATCACCAGGCATTGGAGAAGTGTAAGGATGCAGGATTGGTCAAATCTATTGGGGTGTCCAACTTTAACCACAGGCAGCTAGAGAGAATCCTGAATAAGCCAGGACTTAAGTACAAACCTGTCTGCAATCAGGTAAGAATTCTCCCTCCCTCCCCCATCTCTCATGCCTTTCCTCACTCTGTACTACTGATACTTGTTTATTTGTCCTCTGCCCAAGTGATTTTCATTTTGAGGAAAAGAAGATTCTGAGAGCAGCACCACTGTTTCAAAAGACATGGGAGAGTCTAAATTTAAGAATGGATTATTTAAGTATTGGTGAGAATGGAGATATAATATAGTACCCCACTGCTGGAGAATGTATAAATTTAAAGTTGGTCCAGCAGGCAGAAGTTAAGGGCAGGGAAAGTGATACTCTTCCTGAACTGAGACTAATGGATACCCATGGTATATTTTGTTGAAAGATTGAATTAAAATAAAAATCAGTCAGTCTTCAGTATGTATGTGGCGGTTAGATACTTCTCACCATCTTATTATGGTCCTTTCTCATGATTTTAGCTATCTCAGCAGTTGGCAGTTTTAAACACTGAACTTCCTTGAGGATCACTAATTATATTTTTGGCTTCAAAACTTACCCACCCAAATGTTATTAGCAGAATCCCCCAAAAGTAGTTCTTTTATTCTTAAGAAAAATTGAAACAGTTTGATCTTTTAATGTCAAATGTGATACTGCATATAATTTTCTTAGTCTATCAATTTCAAGCATTTTTATTTGTCATAATATGAGCATTTGATAAAATCTGATATCTTTCTATCATGTTCTTTCATAGGTTGAATGTCATATTTATAATAACCAGAGTAAGCTGCTGGATTACTGTAAATCAAAAGACATTGTTCTGGTTGCTTATGGTGCTCTGGGAACCCAAAGATATAAAGAATGGTAATAAGATGAAGAGTATACCTGAACCAAGACTGTCAATTAGCATCATAACCCTAAGTTCTCAGGGACAGGGGGATCTTTCTTTAGAAGAACCCGGTGAAGCTAAAGCTGCTGGTTCAGTAGACGTGGTGTCTTAGTCCTTTTTTTTTTCTTGTTGCTTTGATAAAATACTCAGACAAGAATAATCTCAGGGAGAAAGGGCTACTCATGGTTCACAGTTCCAGGATATAGACTATTATGGTAGGCATGTTAGAGTGTCAGGGACTTGAATAATGTCATCCCTTCTTATTCAGTCAAGAAGCAGAGAATGACAAATGAACACTTATTCTATTTATACACTTTCTCCATTTATACAGTCGAGGATCCTCTGCTCAGGGGATTTGTTCATCACCTGGCTCATTGTCCAGGTGATTCTAGACTTTGTCCATTTGACAACTACCCATAACCATCATGCCCAGTCTAGAATGTGCCCTGCAATGTGTTTTTAAGCACCATAGCAAAACCAAACCTTTCCCTAAGGAGCTCATTTCTACTTTGCTACTAGGGTGGACCAGAACTCTCCAGTTCTCTTGAATGACCCAGTTCTTTGTGATGTGGCCAAAAAGAATAAGCGAAGCCCTGCCCTGATTGCACTTCGATACCTGGTTCAGCGTGGGGTCGTGCCCCTGGCCCAGAGTTTCAAAGAAAATGAGATGAAAGAGAATTTGCAGGTGATGAGCTCTGCAGATAGTATCTTCTGTATGCTTGATTCCTTCAAATCTCTGAACATGATTGAAATTAAGCCTATATTTCTAGCATTTTTCTATGCATGTGAGCTTTCAGGTGCATTGAGAAATGTTTTGTATATGAAACAAACAGCAGCATGACTTAATAGATTTATTGTTGGAGCCTACATAGAATTTGCTTTGTGTTGTCAGTCAAATACTACATACTTCTTTTCCATGACCCATCTGTTTCATTTTCTGAAATAAGGGTTCTGAACTGGGTAATTTTGATTCTAAAAATTTCTATGCTTTACTTTTAATTCATTGAATTCTCAAATATTCAAATACTAATTCACACACATACTATACACACACACACACACACACACACACACACACATATATATATATATATATTGATTAATTGTATTTTCCTGTCTGTTTTATTTACATGGGTTGATCTTTTTAAATTTCATGTAAGTATGCTTTATTATAGTATAAAATATTTAGTTTACAGAAGAAACCATTCTTAAGTCAAAATTTAATATAAATAACATTTATTTCCTTAGTGTTCTTTGATTTAATATTTGCTTTACTTCAGCCTAAACTCAGTGAAAATTACTGTCTATGCTCAGTTGCTTCACATATGTTCGAGGAACTATTGTAAATATATTCAGGACAATGAGGCCTCTCAATACAGTAGACTGATTTAACTTTTCCTCCATTCCATATGGGTTTCATACAACTTACAAGTTTCCCAGGTTTTACCTCTGCACTTAGCCCTACACCAAGACAGTGAGAAGCCTTTTATCATTAGCACAGTGTTTACACATCATTGCTTCTGTGAAGTTCAGGTGTCCAGTGCAAGTTACACAGCAGTCAATATTCAAAGGGTAGGAAGCAGACATTGTCTCAGTGGGTGAAGGTGTTAAAACACTTCAACAGTGTTCAGATCAAGAAGTGTGGATTGGTTCCCCAAAAGCAAAGTGTTAGTGACAGCTCTTGCTCCCACTAGCGGAAGTCCCAGAAATAAAACAAACTACACAAATGCCACACATATATAGGAAATAATTGGTCCTATGTAGGCTCCCTGGCTGTTAGTTCAGATTCTGTGAGCTCCTATGAGCCAGGACAGTTGTTTCTGTGGGTTCCCTTGTGATGTCCTTGAACTGCCCCCCATACAATCCTTCTTCATTCTCTTAGGCAGGATTCCGTGACTCAGCTCAGTGCTTAGCTGCGGATATCTGCATCTGTTTCCACCAGTTACTGGATGAAAGCTTTCTGATGACAATTGGGGTGGTCACCATACAATGAGTATAGCAGAGTATCATTAGGCATCATTTCCTTGCCTTTTTCCTCCTCAAACATGTTTGGTTCTATCCTAGCTCTCTGGGCCTTCCAATCTCTGTGTCCTGGTGTTCCAGTTAATATCAGGGGTGGGTTCACTCTTGTTGTATGGATCTGAGCCATGACCGGTCAGTCATTGGTAGGTCACTGTCACAATGTCCTTGCCACCTTTACAGTCCACCCCATGCACTTCTCATAGGTAGGACAGATGTAGGTCAAAAATTGTATGTCTGGGCTGGCATCCCAATCCTTCTACTAGACATCTGCCACAGTGACAGGAGATGGCCAGTTCAAGCTAAGAATCTGCCATTGCTAGGAGGCTTAGTTGGGGTCCTCCTTGTAGATTTCTGGGACCTTCCCTTGTACTAGGTTCCTGCCTTATTCTGAAATGCTCCCACTTCCCATCATGTTTTTCAATACTCTCTCCCTTCATCCACCCCTAACCAGATCCCACATATTCCCATCTCTATCTTCCCCAGTATCATTATCTTTTCTATTTCTCCTTTCTCAAGAGATCTATACCTCCCTCCTTGGACCCTCTTTGTTACCTATCCTCTCTATGTTTGTGGATTGTATCATGATTATCCTTTGTTTTATACCTAATATTAACTTATAAATGAGTGCATTGACTTGTCCAGCCTTAATACACGAGGAGGAGCTTAGTCATATCTCAACTTGGTATGCCCTGTTTTGCAGTCCCAAATGAGAAGCTTGCCCCTTTCAGAACAGAAACAGAGGAGGAGTGAATTGGGAGGGGTAGTCAGAGTGGAGGAAAAAGGATGGAAGGAGAGGAGGGAGGGGAACTGCAGTCAGGATGTAAAATAATGACTAAATTTAATTTAAAAATTGATGTTAAACCAGAGCAGCAATTGAACCAAAGTTGCTTCTAATACTTAAGCCTGGCAGGATACTACAACAGCCTCATTGTTGTAGGCAAGTATTGCTGGTGTTCCTAGAAATATTGCTGAAGAATGACCCTAAGCCCAGTTCTTGTGATAAATACCTTTGGATGTGTGCAGAAGTGTGTAGGGGTGATCCCTTGATGATGTGGAATTTATATGTGGTTATATGTGCAAAAATATGGAAAATCATACATCAAATATATATAATATTTATCATATGTAAATATATGCAATGTAATATGATATTTATTTGAAATTGGCATGTTTATGATTATTTGAAAATGATAGATACACACACATATATACACACTCACATACACACACACACACACACACACACACACACACACACTCACAAATGAGCACTGGCCTTTCAAGGGTAGAAGTGTGACAATACAATAATTTGTAAATCTAGGCAGTCAAAAAAGAGATGTTCTATTTTCTCAAATAAAAAGACATGTGGATTATCAGTTTGCTGTATTTACATATTCTCAATAGTGAATTGTTAATCAAATTCAGAAGTTGCTGAACTGCCTTCTCTCAATTTTGCTTATTTTCCTTCACTTTTTATTACTTCATTAAAAGTGGTTCTTATTCCAGTCTTCATACTTTTACTCTGTGATTTAGCATCATGTTTTTTTTTTCACTAATCAGGCTTTTGAGTCTTTTTCACTAGTTTACCAAGGATTTGCATTATTTCCCCCTGAACTGTTCTCTAATACAGTTCTTATAAGTTATAAAATATGAATCAGGAAGATGTATGTAATTTTAAAAGACTGATTCAGTGTGATTAGCTTTATGACTTTTCTCTGTTCGTTTTATTTTCTCTTTTCCATGACCCTAATTAAATGTCTTACTAGATTAACTAGTTGTTAAACTGTTGACAGATTTCTGTGTCCTTCTTCCTTGAATCTCTCTTTGTCTCCATATTTTGAAGGCTGCAAAGGACTTACCCTTGCATGTGCTTTAAGATGGGAAAATTCATAAAACCTTGTTGATGTTAAAATGTCTCAAATTTAAACAAGAAGATCCTTATAAAGCAAGCTCTTTTCTACATGAACACAATATAAGTAGAATTTGGACGAGTCCTGACTTACGTCACGTTGAAAAGAGCAATTGTTTGCATTTCAGTTATTCACTGATGGATTACAAAATCTAACTCCCCATGCAACTCAATGTTTGTGTGATATATTTCAAAATTTTATTCTAGATTTCTTGGAAATTATGTATGTGTTACCACCATCTTTGAATGATATTATTTTGCCTTTTATTTTTCTCAAGCTGACATTGAGATTTCCTGTTGTCTGTGGCATTGTGCAATTTTAATATATTTCTACAGCAGTTTTATTTCATTTTATTTGATATTTATAAACCAGGAATGTTTTAGCATGCAATGTTCATCATTTTTAGGAGCATACATACTACTCACATTGCCTTTGAGACATAAAATCTGCTTCATTCAATGCTAAAACCTTTGTGTTTTTCTAAAAGGTTTTTGAATTCCAGTTGTCTCCTGAGGATATGAAAACCCTAGATGGCCTGAACAAAAATTTTCGATATCTTCCAACTAAGGGGTAAGTAATATTGATAAATGCCTCACCTCAATTTGTTTCAGGGCCAAGTCATTCCCTCCCTCTTCCATCCATGATGATTCAGAAACCCAAAGGCCTATTTGTCTGTAGCAAGTTTCCCATGGAGCTTGTTAATGTAACATTCAGAAAGCAAATTCAGCCAAACATAGAAGTCAGGATATAGTGGCACACACCTTTAATCCCAGGATTCAGGAGATAAAGGCAGGGAGATCTCTGTTAGTTCAAGGCCACCCAGGGATACATTAGAGTGAATCAGTCTAAAAGAGAATTAGAGCTCACATTTTTAATCCCAGAATATGTGAGGGGTATTTAAGACAGGAACAGGGTCTTAAATCCAATGTGTCCCAGCCACATTGAGGATAGGAAGACATTGAAGTCTCAGAATTCTCCAGCAACATTGAGGAGGGCAGAGGAGTCTGAGATTATAGTCTGAGGTTTGGTGGAGCCAGGATCACCTTTCAGTCGAGGTAGAGGTGAGAGCTAGTGGCTGGCTGCCTTGCTTTTCTGATCTTCAGCTTGAACCCAAATATCAGTCTCTGGGTCTTTTACTAATTGTGTTACAATAGTTTTGTCACTACATATTTTGGATTGTTGTTTATATATAGAGAGGTCTACAAATTATATAGTTAGCTCCTCAAGCATGCAACCCCATCTTATTAATGTCATTCTTTCCCTAGCTGAATCTTATAAACTACAATGTACATAATGGATAGTGAGTGTATAATTAGCAGATTACTAATACTAATGGAAGTGAAAGTAGTAGGAATAAATGATATGTAAGATATATTAAGACATTTTTGTGTTGATCAAAGGGACATAGTTGGAAAATAATGTATAAATGATATTTTATAAATATTTCTTATAAATATTTGTAAGTGTCTGTAAGAACATTACCTTCAGCAGTTAATCAGGGAACAAAACAATTAACTTTCATCAAGATGATAACTTCCTACATGTCATACTTTATACTACAGAAATGGATTATAGAGTGTGTGTGTTTTTATTTCCTATTTTAGTTTTGCTGACCACCCTGAATACCCATATTCTGAGGAATATTAACATGAGCACCTGACATGATTCTGCCTGAAGTCACTGTGTGATATTGGTCATGTGACTTGGATGCTGTTTGGTGGATGTGTCATTTCTGGTCAGCCTAGGCTGCTTAGCATCCCTGACATTCAGCTGGAGCTCCAGATAATGGCTTTGAAGAAAAGGGATTTAATTTTCATGGTGCTTTGAAATAAATATTACTTTTCTCTCCTCAAAATATGCTTTATTTTTTTAATGAGTCATTTTGACACAAAACTGGTTTTGGTGGAAGTCTGTGGGTGATGTTTCGTTGGGAGTCATAGAGCTTGACATGAACCTTTAGGCCAAACTTGGCCAGCCACACCATTATAGAACTGTCTTTTGATTATAAATGGCTTCTAGAAGCATGAGCACTTAGAAGGAACAACATGACCCAGACATCAATCCTTTGTTCCAACCACAGACTCAGTTACCTAAGCAACCCTCCCTTGCCCCACCACCCATGAACTTTTTACCCTGCCAACATCCTCCTTCTATAGCTTTCTGACATCCTGAACTACCACCTGGCTCTTGGTCTCTTTCCCCCCTCCCCTTTGCCCTGCTCTGCTGACTATATAAGCTAACCTGGGAAAAATAAACTTTGCCACTTGATCAGAATCCTGTCTTGTTGTCATTCACTCCACATCTCTTGCCCCCATTCTGCTCCCTGGATATCTTGCCATGAGTCGGGACAACTGCAGTGTTTGTAGATGATGATTTCCTTTTGTAAATATCTCTGACTTGGGTTAGGTGGTGTTTCTAGACAAGAGAATGTTTGTTAATAGTTGTTTATGAGTCAGCAGTCCTCTAGTCATGAGTCAACAAGAGAATAAATACCACATACAGTCTGGAAGATGAGATACACTTGGGAATGTTGACCAATAGTCCCCAGGCTCTCTGTAGAATCTTGGAAGTGAAGACTGAGGCATTCCTAAGATAGGCTAGGCTGAAGATATAACATGAGAATCAGCCTAGTAGGACCCTTAAAAGTCAGGTTAGGGAACTTCAGAAGGAGGGAGTTGATCATAGCTCTATCTAGAAATGGTCCCAAAGTTGTTTTATTTCTTTTCAAAATTTTTCTTAAGTAAATTACATCTTACAAACAAAAGGTGCTCTGTACAAACTTAAGGCAATGATACATCAGAGGGTTTTTCCTAGCATTAATTTTTAAACAAATAAAAAACAGAAACCAACTTCAATTTTAATAAATTTAGAAAAACTTGTAAATTGATTCTTTTTGACATGATTTTTTAAAATTGAAAACCAAGTGTTCTCATTTTACATATCAATCCCACTTCCCACTCCCCTGCTTCTCCAACTTTCCCCCTCCCTCCTACTGCACATCATTTACTCCTCAGAGAGTGTAAGGCTTCCTATGGGGAGTCAAGGAAGTCTGGCACATATCTTTGAGGCTTGACCAAGGCCCTTTCAACTAAATCTAGGCTGCAAAAGGTATCCCTTCAAAGAGCATCAGCTCCCAAACGCCAAAAGTAACAGGGATAAATCCTGGTCACACTGCCAGTGGCATCACAGACTGCCGAAGCCAGACAATTGTCACCCACATTCAGAGGGCTCAGTTTGGTCCCATGCAGGTTCCCCAGCTGTCAGTCCAGAGTTATTGAGCTCCCACTAGCTCAGACCATCTGTCTCCGTGTCTATCTCTAAAATGACCTTGACACCTTTGTTCCTCCCTCTCTTTGACTAGACTCTGGGAGCTCAGCCCAGTGCTTAACTGTGGATCTCTTCACCTGCCTCAATCAGTTGCTGGATGAAGGAACTATGATGATAATTAAGGTAGTCATCAATCTGATTACTGGGGAACACCAGTTCAGGCACATTCTCCACTAATGCTTAGTCTTAGTTGGGGTCATCTTTGCGGATTCTTGGGAATTTTCTTAGTGCCAGGTTTCTCATTAGCCCTGTAATGACTCACTCAATCAAAATACCTCTTTCCTTGCTCTCACTCTCTGTCTTTCTCCCATCTCCACCATCCAGTTCCCACATGTTCCCCTCCCCACTCCCCTTTTCCCTCCCCTTCTGCCTTTCCTGATCCCTCCACTCTGATTCCAATTTTCTCAGGGGTTATTCTATTTCTCAGGGGATCCATGTATGTCTCTTTTTGAGTACTCCTTGTTACCCAGCTACTCTGGAGTCACAGCCTATAGGATGGTTATCCTTTGATTTATGTCTATTATCCACTTATGAGTGAATTCATACTGTGTTTGTTTTTTTGGGTCTGAGTTACCCCAGAAAGGATGGTTTTACTCTAGTCTCATTAATTTGAATGCAAATTTTATGATGTAAATATTTTTTCCTGCTGAGCAGTACTCCATTGTGTAAATGTACTACATTTTCCTTATCCATTTTTCAATTGAGGGGCATCTAATTTGTTTCTAGGTTCTAGGTATTATAAATAATGCTGCAATGAACACAGTTGGTATAATAATATCTTTGTAGTATGGGAGTGCATCTTTTGGGTATATGCCCAAGAGTTGTCAAGGAAGAAATAAAGAAAGAAATTAAAGACTTCCTAGAATTCAATGAAAATGAAGACACAACATACCCAAACTTATGAGACACTTTGAAAGCAGTAATAAGAGGAAAGTTCATAGCTATAAGTGATCACATGAAGAAAGTAGAGAATAGTCACTCCGGAGAGTTGACACCACAGCTGAAAACTCTAGAAAAAATGGAAGCAAATTCACCCCGAAGGAATAGACATCAGGAAATAATCAAACTGAGGCCAGAAATCAATAAAGTCAAAACAAAGAAAATAATTCAAAGAGTCAATGTAACAAAGAGTTGGTTCTTCGAGAAAATCAACAAGATAGACATTTATCCAAACTCACCAAAAGGCAGAGAGAGATCATGCAAATTAACAAAATCAGAAATGAAAAGGGGTACATAGCAACTGACACTGAGGAAATCCAGAGAGTCTTCAGGTCATACTTTGAAAACCTGTACTCCACAAAATGTGAAAATTTAAAGGAAATGGACATTTTTTGGACAGATATGACTTACCAAAATTGAACCAAGAATAGATAAGCATCTTAAACAGATCTATGAACTCTAAAGTAATAGAAGTCATCATCAAAAGTCTCCCAAACAAAAAAAAAGCCCAGGGCCACATGGCTTCAGTGTGGAATTCTACCAGAAATTCAAAGAAGAGCTAATACCAGTACATCTCAAATTGTTCCACACAATAGAGGCAGAAGGGACATTGCCAAAGTCTTTTTACAAGGCTATAATTACCTTGGTAGCCAAGCCACACAAAGACACAATTTAGAATCCAAGAACATATCAGAAAAATCATCCACCATGATCAAGTAGGCTTCATCCCTGGGATGCAGGCTTGGTTCTACACTTGAAAATCTATCAATGTAATCCACCATATAAACCAATTGAAGAAAAACCACATGATCATCTCACAAGATGCTGAAAAGCCTTTGACAAAATCCAACACCCTTTCATGATAATGGTCCTGGAGAGATCAGGAATAACAGGAACATACCTGAAGATAATAAAAAACAATATACAGTAAGTCACCACCAACATCAAACTAAATGGAGAGAAATTCCAAGCTATTCCTCTAAAATCAGAAACAAGACAAGGCTTTCCACTCTCTGCATACCTCTTCAATATTATCCTTGAAGTTCTAGCTGGAGAAATAATACAACCAAAGGAGATCAAGGAGATACAAAATGGAAAGGAAGAAGTCAAGCTTTCACTGTCTACAGATGATATGATAGTCTAGATAAGTGACCCGAAAAACTCTACCAAGGAACTACTACAGCTGATAAAACACCTTCAGCAAAGTGGCAGCATACAAAAGGATTAACTCAAAAAAATCAGTATGGATGACAAATGTGCTGAGAAAGAAATCAGAAAACTATCAACCTTTACAATTGCCAAAAACAACATAAAATACCTCAGGATAATGCTAACCAAAAGAGTAAAGACCTGTACCATAAGAATTTTGAGTCTCTAAAGAAAGAAATTAAAAAGATACCAGAAAATGGAAGGATCTCCCATGTTCTTACATAGGTAGAATCAACATAGTAAAAATGGCAATCTAGCCAAAAGCTATCTACAGATTCAATGCAGTCCCCATCAAAATCCCAGCACAATTCTTTACAGATCTTTAAAGAAAAATTGTCAACTTTATATGGAGAAACAAAAGACCCAGGATAGCCAAAATAACCTTTACAATAAAGGAACTTCTGGAGCCATAACCATCCCTGACTTCAAGCTCTATTACAGAGCTTTGGTCCTGAAAACAGCTTTGTATTGGCACAAAAATAGACAGGTAGACCCATTGAATAGAATTGAAAACACTGATATTAACCCATACATCTATGAACACCTGATTTTTGACAAAGAAACTAAATTTATATGATGGAACAAGAAAGCATCTTCAACAAATGGTGCTGGCATAACTGGATGCTGGCCTGTAGAAGACAGCAGATAGATCCATGTCTATCGCCTTGCCAAAACTTAAGTCCAAATGGATCAAAGATCTCAACATAAATCCAACCACACTGAACCTATTAGAAAACAAAGTGGGAAATACCATTGAATTAGTGGGTACAGGAGACCACTTCCTGAACATTACACTAGTAGCACAGACACTGAGATCAACAATTGATAAATGGGACCTCCTGAAACCGAGAAGCTTCTGTAAAGCAAAGGACACAGACTGTTTTCTGTGCCTTTGAGTTGGATTTCTTCACCTTCTTCCATAACTATTATTCTTAGGTTTGGTCTTTCACAGTATCCCATATTTCCTGGATATTTTGTGATAGGGATTTATTGGACTTAAGATTTTCTTTGGTTGATAAATCTATTTCCGCTAGTGTATCTTCAACTCCTGAGATTCTCTCTTCCATCTCTTGTATTCTGTTGGTTATGCTTACATCTGTAGTTCCTGATTGTTTACACAGCTTTTCTATTTCCAGTATTCCCTCAGATTGCGCTTTCTTTATTTTGTGTATTTCAGTGTTTAGGTCTTTAATTGTTTCCTTGAGAGATTTGTTGATATCTTGTATTTTTTGGTTTGTTTTTTCTTCCATTTCTTTAAGGGATTTTCTCATGTCCTCTTTGAGATCCTCTATCATTTTTCTGAAGATGCTTTTAAGGTCATTCTCTTCTAGTTCATCTGCATTGTGATGTTCAGGTCTTGCTGGTGTATGTTTCCTAGTCTCTGGTGGGGTCATATTGGGTTTTCTGTTGTTGGATGTGCTTTTATCTTGTCCTTTTCTCATCCTTTCTTCTGGTGGGTGTTACAGGATTTTCTTGCTTTCCTGATGGGTATGGGACTAAGGTTCTCTTCTGGTAGATGCAAACAGATCCAATACTCTGATGTCGGTCCTCTTCTTGTGGATGGAGGTGTCACTGTTACCTGGACATCTGCAGTGTTTGGGCATGCCGGTTCCGCTGGGCAGCAGTTGGAGGCTGAACTGTCACTGGGCCTTGGAGTGTCGAATCCTGCCACCAAACTTGGGTCCGGCTTGCAGGTCGCTTGTGTCAGATGACTCTGAGCAGTGATGAACGGGAACTGGAAACAGGCCGGCAGATGGAGGCAGGACTGCCTCTGGTTGTTTGGTGTTCGGATCCTGCCGCCGAATTCAGTCCGGCAAGCAGGTCGCTGGTGTCAGATGACTCTGAGTTCCAGAATGAGTCCAAGATGAAGCTGTGTGGGACTTTCTCTTTCCTGAAATTTTAAAAATAGACAAAGGAGACTGGAGATTTCTGTCTGTATTGAGCTCAGTCGCCCCTGGTTCTCAACATCAGGTAAATGTCATTTTCAATCAGATCTCCGTAGTTAACATCTAGGACCATTGTGACTGGCTTGAGTTAGTTCAGATGGGGTTGATTTCTATCCATGGACTTTCACTTGAATATTTCTGTTGCTGACACCTGGTTTGATTCCTCTTTATTACTAACTCCTTTTCCTGTCTCACCCAGGCTCCTTGCTCCTTGAGTTGACATTGTTCACCGTCATTAGGTGCACAGGATGGTTCAATATTTAACAACGGAGCCACTATCCTGATGGTTCCTGACTAAAACCATCACATCAGAGAAGTCACAGGATGCACAACTAGATTGAAGGCTTTCAGGAGCTTTGGCTTTACCCCTTACCAGCATTTTCAGTCACTTTTCTCTGACAATCTTATCTTTAAGTTAAGGCTTCTGCATCCCCTCTCTCACCAGGGATTTGCCTACTCCTTTTCAGTACAATATTTCAGTCTACCTATATTTCTTAGGTGTCCTGTCACCCTATCACCTACAATATGGTTTTCAATGTTCTTCCAGTCATTGTGTCTTGAGAATAGATATATTCTTCATGTCAGACTCTTCTTATTCACCATGTCCCATGTGGATGACTTCCAATTTTCTGCTTTAGACAAGGAATCTCAGACTTAGACTCTCATATTCCACATATCCTATCCTTTTAAAAGAATAGATGATACTGACATCTATACATGACATCTGTAATTAGTCTGGCAAATAAATATGAGTTTATGTAAGTATCTAGGAAAGCACCAAGAGGATACATTTCACTTGTAGACACAAATGGAAATCTAAAGAGGTTTATGTGTTATTTGCAGAATGATATCACACTATTTTGACTTGTCACATTAAAATTTAGTTGGTTTTCACTTATTTATCTCAAGTTAAAAATCTAAAGAAGATAAATTGTTTGAAGAGGAATAATAGCATAAATATATAATGTTATAAAAATCTCAATTAACACAGAAGTTTTTCTCAGGTGAGCTAAAGGAGGCTTATAAAGAAGAAATCACACAGGAGTAAATTTGTATGTGTTACATTGTTTAGAATCAATGGTTATTTATATATATTTTCTTATTATTCTTTACATTCAAAGCAAGTTGTCATTCTTGGAAATAGATATATTTAGAGCAAATATAACCCCCCAAGTTTAAAGTATTTATGTTCAACTGTAGTAGATGTTTAACATATTTTGTTAAAATTTTCAGAACTTCAATGGAGTTAATGATCATTTAAATTTCTATTTGGACTGAAATTTTCATTATTATTATTATTATTTTAGAGGCACTCATATTTATATATCCATCCTCCCTCTCCCTTGCCCTCCCATTCTCCCATGTTCCCCACAAACCCCTCCAAAACACCCCCACCTCCTCCCCAGGGATAGTGAGGCCCTCCACCGGGGACCATCAAAGTCCATCATCTCATTTGGGGGACTACCTAGGAGTTCCTTGCTGTAACTGGGCTGCATAGTATCTCTCTATAGGAAATGGGCTCCCAAAGTCCATTTGTGGACTGAATTATTTTTAATGCCCATTTTTATAGCTCTGATTAAATGGAACTATTATATAAGTAGGTTTTACTTTTGTAACAAGCCAAAAAAATATTAATGGTCATTGTTGCTGCATAAAAAATAAGTAAGAAATGTGAAAATTCAAACATTCTAAATTTAGCTCCAAAATAAATGAAGAAATAAATGACATTCTTTGTATATTTATTGTAGTCTATGACTCAAAAATGCAAAACTTAAAATGTCCTTTGTGTTGGGGTCATCCAAGCTAAAATTGTTAATAATCACTTTTCACAGTCTGTTTTATCCACTACTACTATCTGCATATCTGAACAGGACCCCTGAGTTTTCCCAGCTGAAATGACCACTTTCATGCTGTGAAGTATGTATAACTATGTATGTGGTCCCTTGTGGGTCCAATCCCTCCTGAAAGGTGGTCTAATACATCATGAATCATTCTCCTGGGGACAGTTTGTCTTCTGGCTGCCGCTGTAACCCCAGCTTTTCCTTCTTCAAGTACAAAATTTCTGAGGGCAACCTAATTTTTGAGGTCTACTGTTTCAATTTTCTGATAACCCAGCAAGGACAAAAAGCATCTTTTTTTTGTAGAATATCCTAGATCCTTCAAGGCCTGTAATAATGGCTTATTGTTTCTTGTGTTGTGTTATCAAGTAGATGCTTTGTCATAGCAACAAGCTTTGAAAATTAAACACACATAAACTTTAGGCAGGGGACTGGCTCCTAGAAGGGCTGCTCCATGCCTGCACCCATGAACAGGACATAAATACCAATATGTGGTAGAAGCTGAGTCACCTTAAGCTGGCTTGTTCAGGGTAGCATTCACATTGAACTTTTCTAATTTATGCGTAATTAAAATACTGTACATATTTTTGAACTTTCTATATCTTAGATGTAAGCCCTAGGAAAATGGGCTCCTGAGAAAAGTGGGTCTTCTTCCTAGAAGTGCCTGCCCTGGAGGAGGGAGGGCAAGTGTTATGAAAGAGAGGAGAAATAGAAGTCCTGCCTGCCAGGCCCCAGGCACTGCTGCTGGGCTCAGCCTGCTCTTATTATGAAGAGAATTCTTCCTTGTTTTCAAAAATGAAACTCTTCGCTGCTCTCCCTATTGTGCATTCTTCACTTTGAAATGCAGAAGAAGCAAGTCTGAAGCTGCTGTTGAGACCAGGGGAAACTGGAGACTTCTTTCAGGACATTTGGTGCTCAACCCAGGTCCACTCTGTGTTTCTAAGAGCACAGTGAGGTATTTTCCTCCACCCTAGCTACCTATGGCAAAGACTCTGCTTCCATTTGTCGACTTCATCTTCTTTATACTTTCATTTTTCGTAAGGGTACTGAAAAAATTTCCTCTTGTTGCTTTTCTGCTATAAGATTCCTTTAGCTTAAATGGCTCTTCTCTTTCCACCCCCTCTTCTCTGTCACTACTTGTATCTCTAGTTTAATTTCTACCCAGCCTATTGGTTTCATTCTCTTCTTTGACCCGAAGACCTAAGGGTAGCTGTCTCCTGCTTGTTGCTTGTGTGACCACCATTGCAAACTTGGAATGGCCAAGGACTGTGCCTTCCTTCTTTTCCTACATCTTTGCCCAGACAAAACCTCATTTGCTTCCTCTCACATGTCCTGGAAAGACACTGGAGTCCCCTGAGCTGGTTCTTCTGATGTGGCCGTTGGCTGTCTGGGGAAGTTGCAAGATTTTAAGGATTAATCTATAGGGTCTTTTTCTGGGGGCTGCAGAACCAGATGTCTTTTTAACCAAGCAGCTTTCTTTTATTATGAAACCTGATATAGTCTTAGACAATATGATGTCTGTTGACAGGGGTTGACCCTTAACTGTCCTCAATCTTTACAGGGGGATCCTTGCCCCTTTTGTTTGGATTCTTTAGGTTGTGTTTTTTTAAAAAAATTGTTTAAATTTATTATTATTACTATTATTATTATTATTATTATTATTATTATTATTGTTTTTGTGTTGTGTGTGCTTACATGTGCACAATGTTTTAGGGTCACATATGTCATGGGGTGCATGGAGAGGTCAAAAGATAGTTCTGCAGATTGTTTTTCTGCTTCCACTTTTGTGTAAGTTCTGGAGTTCTATCTCAGGTCTTCAGACTTGTATGCAAAGTGCCTTTGTAGGCCAAGCTACCTCATAGGTTCAAAGAAAATGTTTTCTTTCTTTTTTGCAGTAAAAGGGATTGAGCCCAGGAACCTGTACATATGAGACATGCACTATGCACTGAGTCATAGTGTAAAGGGTACACACAAGTCCCAGCTTGTGTGTATCCTTTAAAGATCCTTTATGAACTCCTTACCCCTAAACAAAGCAGAGACTCTCTTTGATTCTGTTGTTTGATGATGGACACTAGCTATGTTTTCTGGAAACCATCAAGCTCAGACATCAGGTTTAACTGAAAAGGGGGGCCACAATTACTTGGGAGAAAGTCCTTAATTATAGAGCATAGGATAGAATTGGGCTGGTGAATGTCTGGGAGGACAACTCGAGTATGAAGGGAGAAAAGCTGAGAATGAAGGGCATCTGTCAAGGATGACCCAGAGACTGGTCACTTCAATCTGAGAGGAAGAGTCCCTGGTGACACCTAAAGGGATGCAAGACTGCCCCCTGGAGGCTAGACTATCCATAGGAAAGTGTGCACATACAACCATTGTGGGATAGCCTGAGTGGACAGAGGGACCCCTCATCTGAGATGCTGCTTGTCTTTCTGATTCATGTTCCCTCTGTTTGTAGATGGGGAATCAAACCCATCTTCATTTCATCAGATGCGCCTACACTGGACTGCATCCTAAAGTACTAGGATAATTTTAACCTGGACATTTTCAAAAGGAGGCAACATGTTTTCTTTTGCAATGAAGCTTGGCTCTACTATCAGCTAGGGGTAGAAAGACTTGATCTATGGATGGGAGCCTAAATCTAGATTCCATACTATAGTTATTGATATGCTCTTTAGGATTGGAAAAGGCAATGATATCCCTTATGTTTAAGACATTTATGCTAATTACCTCACTGTCCTCCTGTTTGATCTACTTTCCAGGTGAAAAAGAAAAAAAGGGGGGGATTTCCTTTGTCCATATGTGTGTCAGTAAAGGATAACTCCAACTTTGGCAAAAACTGCAAATTAAATTCCAATTCCAGTACTTACTCATGTGAGTTAGTCTGCTTTGCCCTTCAGAGTTAATATTTATTCAAAAAAAATCTGTGGAGAATGAAATTTAGTACAAGCTGGTCTTATTGTCACATGGAGATCATTAAATATTTTAAAATTTGAAAATATCATGTGGTAGCCCTTCAACATCGTGTCTCCTCTGTAAAAACTTTTCCTTACTCATGAATGAGAGAGGTGATCACTTTGAGGGAGAAAGGCCTGTTTTCTGGTGCTTGTCAGTGCCCATTTCCAATATCTGGGCAAAACTTTATCTGTTAGAAGTGGGATAAGTGTCCTGGGTACAGCCTGCTGTCCCCCAAGTCAAGTAGGCTCTAGTTTCTGTTTTCTTCCTTGGTCCTCCATGAAAAAGTAACCATTTGCAATTTCTCACTGTCCTTCACTAGAACAGCACTTTTTGTCTCCCAAACTGCAACTGCAAGGTTAGCATATAAATGGTTTTGGCTCTCTGTGTGTTTTCTTTCATGCCTTTTCTTGCTTGATAGTGTTCAAGGTCCTTAGAAGTTCTTATCAGGGCCAGGCGTTGGCAGTATATAACATTTAGAAACTCTCAGAATCATATGAGACCAAGAAAAAATAAGTAAAAGAAAATTTCAAATTATCCAAGTAGAGATAAGTGTGCCTAGGACGTAGAACAGACAAGTATCTTACTGTTTAAAAACATGTGGACAGTACCAATAGGTTATCTTAAGCTATGGAAATAATTTGTATTCTGTTCCCTTGAAGTAAGTTGGTATATTTGTTTATGTTACTCTGTTTCAAGTTAATGAAGGGAATTAGACAGAAGGGGATCAGTAATTAAGAATGAGGGAGGATGACAGTCACAAAGTTTTTGAAGGAAGGATTTACCGATGGCATGTACATGGTAAGTAAAGTTATTAAAATTTCTAAGTAAGAATTCAGTGTTTAACTCAGTGTAAAAGTATCTGGTTTGCATCATTCATAAGGGCTGGGTTAGGGGAAATATATTTATTCAGATAACTATATTTTTGCCTAGTTTGTTCAAAATCTGTTCTTGTCTAAACTACGAGTGTCACAGAAAAGTTAGAGCTAAAAAATATCATCACTTATTGCTCAAGATGGACAAACCTTTCCTTGTGGGTGTTTAAAGCCAACGTTTGAAGGTGTAGCCAGTGAGAATGGGAGGTCTAGAAGGATAGTCAGTGTTTTGCCTCTTCCCTGGAAACATCAGCTAGAACAGAGAGGGAAAAAGGAACTCTTATAAATGTTTTGCTACTCTGGTAAGTCACCTGTCATCTTAATTTAAGAGACCTTAGAATTCCAAGTACTGAATTCTAAGCAGCACATATTCTCCAAATATAGTCAGAGAAAAGAGGACGTTGTCTGTGCTTCTGTGGTAAACCACATGGTCAACAAGAATCTGACCTATTCCTTCAGATGGCACACTTGGTAGAGGAAAATGAAAAAGTTTAAAGTCCCTAAGAATTAGTCCCATTTTTTTAAAAAAATTAAATAACACATTTTCATTTATTTTACATACCAACTGCAGGTCCCCCCCCCCACACACTTTTCATCTATCTTCTTCCCCTTCCATTCCTCTTCTATCTCCATTCAGAAAAGGGCAGGCCTCCCATGGGCTTGAACAAAGCATGGCCCATGAGGCAGGACCCAGTTCTTCTCCTTATCAAGGCTCGGCAAAATAATCCAGCATGAAGAACAGGTTCTCAAAAGCAGGCTAAGCTCCAAGGACAGGTCCTGATCTCACTGCTGGGAGACTGCAAGCTTCCCAACTGTCACAAGCATGAAGATAGCCTAGGTTGGTCCTATGGAGGCTCTATAACTGTTGGTCCATGTCTATGAGTTCCCATGAGCTAGGTCAGGTGTCCCTGTGGGTTCCCCCATCAGAGTTCTTATTCTGATCTAGTTTAGCCAGGAAACCCCTATGCCCCCAAACACATATACAGACAGTTATTCAGATGACTGTTTTGGCCAGTATATAAGGGACAATATTCAAAAGAATGTCAAACGCCTAAGAATTAATAACTGGATCCACAGCGCAGGATAAAACATCATTTTTCAGAAAGACTCAGAATGAGAAACAAGAGAACCACACTGGAGTAATAAACCAATTAACCACGTGTGCTTTCTTTTCATAGGACAGATTTCTCTCCAAGGTTCAGATAAGTAAATCTATAGACCATGCTCCATAGCTCCTGATAGTGAAATTATCCTCATGGGAGGTGTCCTAATGACACATTCACTCTTGCCTCTGGCCTCACCAGATAAATCCTTTCTTGACTCCCATAAAAATATTTCCAGATTCTTTTCTAACATACATAAACAGGTGTGGCGCTGGTTAGCCTCTCATTTCCCATGATGTTGATCATTTTCAGGCCCTACTCCTCCTTTAATTAGTAATCTTTTTTTTTTCAGAATACAACAGTTTATTTTTCAAATAGTTAGGTACAGGAGTTGTGTTGTAGATGTATCAGTTGGGATTGGGCTCCACAAATATGCATTTTGATTAGTTGTGATTTTCTGTAATGGTCTATGCCTGCTGCAAAGAGAAGTTTCCCTGATGAGGATGGAGGGTTACACTTATCTTTGAATATAAGGACAAATATTAAGAATGCAGTTAGAGATTCTAATGGCTTGATAATAGAATGGTAATAGGTTCTCCATCCAAATCCAAGATTTCACTGGTCTTGTATAACTGGCTAGGTTTTCAGTACCAGGACTGTTTACCCACTGTTGAGTGGGTCTTAAGTCCAATTAGTCACCTATTTGTTAATACCAAAGTATGTATAGCACTACTGCACACTTATAGTTATTTTACCATAGTAGTGGTCATTTTAATTGGGACAACTCAGGACCCTCAGTAGGCTGCTTAGATGGTAAAGGTGGATAAAATAGGATGTAATAATACTTGGTAGTGTTTATTCTCACTAGGCCAGAGTGAGGACTCCCAAATAGGACATTAAGAACAGGCAGGAGTGGTTGATTCTACCTGGATAAACTTCAAACTGGCCTCAGGAATTTCCTTGCATGGGAGTATATGCCCAATGTTGTTGCCCTTTTCCTTGTTGACTTTGGGGTTATTGAAACCCCATTCCCCACTTGTTAGACTGAATTTTGGGTAAAATCTAAGAGATGCAGTCTCCTTTCCTGAAAGTGCCCACACTGAGGGAAATGTAGGTGAAAATATAACAGAGAGGAGGGTGTGCCTGTTAGAATCAAGGCCTCTGTTACCCAGCTTGGTCTGCTCTTAATTTGAAGTTTGTTCTTGTTTAATTGTTTACTAAAATTCAGTGCTTGCCTTCTGGTTCAATTGCTGTGCTGTATTTGAAGTCTTTAGGAGCACAAGAACTAAGAGTGCTAGTGAGCTTGAGACAAGGGGAGACTTGAGACATCCTATACCCACAAGGGACTAGGTTTCTACATAGAAAACAATCAGCAATTGTTCACATAACTGTTACGATAAATCTTTCTGCCAAATACTGCCTGAGCCCCACCACCACGTGTGAGCTTTATGCCAGCCCCCCTGCCCGAGTTAGGCCCAAATAAATACACAGAAACTTGTATTAGTTTCAAAGCTGCTTGGCCAATGACTAAGATTTTCATCTGTTTGCTCAGTCTTAATTATCATAAATCTATATATTTTGTAAGACTTATCTTATTGGACGCCTTATTGGTGTCCCTCCTTGCCAGTGGATCACATTGTGCCGCTGGAGCAGGAGCCGAGGGGAAAAGGGGCACATTTCCTGTTTCTCCTTCTTTAAATATGAGTCTCCTTGCTATGTCACTTCCTGCCTGGATCACCACTTCTCTACTACATTTCCCAGAATCCTCTTTGACTCCTAGTCCTGTCTAACTTGCTGTCTCATTGGCCAAACAGTATTTTATTTAACAATCAATGAGATAAACATACACAGTACATTCCCCATCACATAACCTTTTGCAATAGCTTAGTATAAAGAGAAATTTTACTAAAACAAATTATGTTTCACTACAAATTGGTGCCATTTCACTACATGCCACCAAATGACATGTGAAGTAGTACTTTAAATTTCCTACTTTTCCTTTTTATTAGTTAACTGTTAAACAGGTAATGCCACTGGTTAACCATTAGACAGGCAGACGTATTGTTTAATCATTAGCCAGAGAGTAACACTGGTTTTCTATTAGAGAGGGGTGTGCCTCCAGTTATCCATTAGCCAGGAAGTTTATGCATGGTCTCTATATATTCACTGTTCCACAAAGGCTGCTGGAGAATCAGAACCTCCTGAGTCAGAAGAGTGATAAGCAATGAGTTCCAAGCAGCAGCTTGTGAAGCTAAACGATGGTCACTTCATTCCAAGACTGGGATTTGGCACATATAAACCTGAAGAGGTAAGAACAGTGGTGTTGTGTTGGAGTCCTCAAAAGAAAATAGGCTAAGGGAGGGTGGAAGAGGTAAAGCCGTCAAGTCACCCACTTCCTATGTGACTCTGCGGGACTCACCTGGTTCTGTTTCTCTAGACTAGAGCTAATCTGTGTATAAGAAGATAGTTTGATTTTGCTCTGAGTCAGTGTCTGATTATATAAGTACTTGTCAATTGCTTCATTGTTTCTTGGCTTTGTAGAAGAGATCAAAGTCACCAGTCCTGAACCCTGTCAGCTTCCTTGATTTGAAGCTGACTGGAAGGATGGAAGGTTCCTCTTAGCTCTATATTCAGGGTATTTTCCCCATAAATAAAAAAATGCAAGACTTAAGGAAATCAACATGTTGAATGTTTGCAGAGATGAAAAACATAAAACAAATGTCCGAAGACTACTTCAGCTCTATTTTGGGAAGTGGTAGGTATTTCACAGTAAGTGCTGCACTTGAGTTAAGTAAAGCATCCAATGTACTCCTCTTAACTGGGAATTGAGTACATGCTACAACAGTATGATAGTGAAATTTCTGTGAAATGCTGATCTTTGCTAATGTCCCTTAGGTTTATAGCAAAGTGATCCAGAGAGTTCTCTGAAATCAAGTGACCAAAAAGGTCAGTGTGGAAATGTGGAAGTAATTTCATATTTTAAAATCTTCTTTAGATCTTGCAATTTTAAAATAAGTGAATTATTTTTTAAACATTGAATGCATACATTTCTTATCTGTTAGATTTACAAAGATATTTATAGTGCCAAACAGCCATACTGCCTGGAATATAAGTTACCTTGTAAGAAATATCTAAAGCACAAAGTGAAGAAATATGGGACTTAATTACTAAGTAGGATAAAGTGGCAAAAAGAGGGAAGGCAATGGGGCTGGAGAGATGGCTCAGTGGTTGAAGGGCATCTGTTGCTCTTGCAGGGACCAGGATTTTATTTCCAGCAGCCACATGGCAGTTCACAACCATATATAACTCCAGTGCTAGTGATCTGATTGCCTTTTTGTAGTGAGACACCTCTTTCAGATGACTTTAGGGTTTAGTTAAAATAGACATAGTTAGGATGTAACATAAGCAGATAGTTGTATCTTCTTATATTTCACCTTTATGATTGTTAATTTTGGATACTTTACACTGTTAGGTTTTATTCCTCTTTTAGACTAAAAGTGCAATTGCAGGGAGGCATCATAACCATGCCTGCTAAGGACTGACTACAGGTATGCCTGACCACACCTATAAGGGTGTGGTCAGGGAGAAGTAGGGAAGGTTTAAGAGTGAGAGGTGCACACTCTTAAAAGGAAGAGGTGGAAGCCCTTTTTCCTTTTCATCATTGGCTTTCTGTACTTACTCCTGCCCTGCTGGCTGGCTAGGTTGCTTTGTAAGTAAGGCATCTCCTTAATAAATACCCTTATATTTTTACCTGACTCTGTATTGGTAATTCCCTCATTGCCTTTTCTGTCCTCCACAGGCACTGCATGAATGATGCACAGACACACATGCAGGCAAACATTGTCACATAAACTTAATCTCAAAGGCAGCTTAGAAAAAGAAAGTGGAGGCAAGTGCCAAGATTACTACAGAAACCTCAGCCTGAGTAGCCCTGTAGCTGAAAAATCAGGGCAGGCTTCAGGGCTCAATGCTAAGACCCTTAGCATTATATTTCACTTAATATAATATAGACATGAAAAGAATTCCTTTTATTTTTCTTTTTAAAAATTTGGTCGGACATAGGGTCTTACTGTGTATCCTTGGGCCTGGAATTTTCTATGTAGACCAGATAGACCTTAAATTCAGAGATCCTCCTACCTCTGCTACAGAAATGTTGGGATTAAAAGTGTGTGCACCATGTCTGGTTCTGATGTTTTTAAAATAAATGCAAAAGTACTTTGACATGATCCTCTATCCTTTAACACACAGATACTCACAGCATTATCCAAGACTGGCAGAGCAGACAATAATCTTAAATTGAAGTCTGGTTATATTTTCACTAAACAAAGTAACTTTTATAAGGTCTGATAACCCAACATGAAAAAATCCCTTATTAAATGAGGAGCAAACAGTTTTCTATACAGATGAGATTTCCCATATATTGTCACAGTTTGATGCAGAAAAGAACTCAGTATCTCCTAGGAGTCTTTACTGGGGGAAGAGTCATAATGCTGCATGAATTTATATTTCTTCTGTTTTGTTCCAAGCACCTTTCTCCTGAGTTCATTGTACTTGTGACCTCACTATATAAATTATAACAAGATAATGCCTATATACTGAGTTCTGTAAACCCTTCCAGAATAATCACTGGATTAGAGGTTTATTTGAGGTCCTCTTGTGCATATGATTGACAGTACTGGAAGAGTATGAAGAACTTATGGGATGTGAAATCCTAGTTATTATCTCGGATGGCCCCAGTGAAACTAAGTTAGGACCTATCACCCCCCAAATGCTCAAGTAACAGAAGATATGGAAAAAGGTGAGTCTCCTGAAATCACCTCTAAATGGGTGATCTCCACAGTTACTGTTTGAGGAGACTGTTATTAAAGTAGGTGAAATTTCAGTGGCAAGGAAACTGGTCTCTTTTTATGTAGTAAAGTGGTGTGAGAATGACATAGGAATATAAAATACCTTTTTTTTTTGTAGAGAACTGTCCATTAGATCTACTTGAACTACCTCTCTTATGAATCTTTAAATACTGCTTTTGGTTCCTTCTTAGGTTCCTGAAAATAAGCCACTGGAGGCTATAAATTTAGCTATCGAGGCTGGGTACCGCCATATCGATACTGCTTATGTGTATCAAACAGAAAAGGATGTAGGGCAGGCTATTCGAAGCAAGATTGCAGCTGGTCTTTTGAAGAGAGAAGACATATTCGTCACTACAAAGGTATTGTGTGTGGAGTGCTCAGGTGTACAGATTAATTGAAATGTGATATAAGCAAGCAAATACTTATTTGACAGCTCATTTATTAATTGATAAAATATACATACTGGTAAAACTTTTATTTATGTATAATTCATAGATGAGTTCTATCATGATAAGCAGAAAAAGATTAAGATTTCTACAAATGTAGCACTCTATTTTTTTTTATCCTCAGTTAAAAGCAGTGTATTTTAATATGGGACATGGATTTAATATGGGTGAAACCATGAAATTGTGGCTTTCTGTTTCTCTTTGATAGCTTTGTAACATTTGTCTGTCATACTCCAAATACTGACTTTTTCCTTTAAATAATGAAGAACAGAAAAAAGAATTTTCATATTAAAGGGTAGTTAAAGTACATTTATTAGTATTCATCAAATTAAAATGTCATCTGTTGCTTCTGTTCAATGATGTAACCAAAGGGATGCTACTTCTCTACTGGTAAGAATAGACCAAATATTTAGATTAACAGTTGCTTTTAATCACTGTGATATATAATTTAGAGACTGAATATTATTAGTAGTAGATAGAAGTTTTATCTTTTTAGAAATTTTCTTTGGTTTTTGAAGGATTAAAAACAAAGTTATGATCATATTCGTATGTGTTAAGTCAGATTAGTGGAAGCTACAGAACAAAGGAAATTTCATGTCTTATGATTATAAGTTTCTATATAGTAAAAATGTATCGGTATTAGGTAAAATAAATCCTCCATATGTGGATAATTTACTAATCCAGGATTGCTTCCATTCTTTCATGTAAATAGCTTTGGTGTACTTTCCATAGACCAGAGCTGGTTCAATCTAACTTGGAAAAATCATTGAAAAACCTTCAACTGGATTATATTGACCTCTATATTATTCATTACCCAGTGCCTATGAAGGTAAGCAACTTGAATGATCAGGCTTAATCAACTATGACAAGGTCATGGTAATCATTTTTCTGGAGGATCAAGATAAAGTTCTATTATATTTTTCTGTAAATCCAATTTTTGTGTTACATAGTCTATTCAAAGTAGATTATACAAATGACCACAAAATGGGAAGCCCAAGATATTGCTAGAATTATAAATTCAATAAATAATCTTCAAAATTGTCATTAATTATGCATTTCTTGTGTTACATTAGTAGGTATTTGGATTTTATTCCAGCACTTTTTCTTGTGATATTAGGATGGTTTAAGCTTTCTGGCTATTACCTGGTTATAGCATCTTTGAGTTTTCCACCATCAAAATTAGCTTTCCATATAGCCTTGATTGACCATCTTTGGTAGACATAGTTTCCTTTTGCTCAACTATATCCAGATAGTAAAAGACCACTGATTGGCCTGTGTCAGGATAAAATCCTTTATTACTGTCAAGGCTGTATGTCTATTGAATTTCTCAGTGAAAGAAAAATATCTCACCAGAAGTGTGAATAAGAAATGACAAAATAATGGACATCAGCTAGAAGACTACAGGTAGATCTGTGAGAATACTGTTTAATAGTAATAGTAAATATGTGTAAAACTATATATATATATATAATAGTTCATATGGGAGACTACTTCAAGCATCTAAGAATATTCCTTATAATTCCACACACAAATCCCCTTGTAAATGCAAGTATGTAGAATGATGCTCCGCTTAATACACATTTAGCGTTCTATTTCTAACTATTCCTATGAGATTCTCTTGTTTATTCAGATCATTGTGAATACTGTTTCTATTTAAGCCAGGAGAGGATCTGTTTCCAGTAGACGAACATGGGAAAGCATTATTGGACACTGTGGATATCTGTGCCACATGGGAGGTAAGCAGTTGAAAGAGGTTCAATGGAGGAGCTGAGAGAGGGAAATACATCATATTGAGAAAATGGAGTATACGCCTCTGGCTGTAGAAATTCATTATGCTTATATAGGTGGGTTACTGGAGTGAAGGGGGGCATACATTACTACAGTGAAATAAAGGGAAATGAAGTGGTACTTGGGACAACAGGAATGAATGCATCTTGTCAGCGTATGTAGTGTGAAAATCTCTGCTTCTTAGGAATTCCTTAGACAGAAGAATTCCTTCATGGCTGTCACTTTTTCCTCTTTTTTGGGATTTTATGTTTCTTTTTTATTAGAAAGAAAATTATTTTACATATCAATCCCAGGTCCCTCTCCCTCCCCTCCTCCTCTGCCCCCCCCAAATAATGCCCTACCCATCCCATACCCTTTCTGCTCCTCAGTAAGGGTGAGGCCTTCCATAGGGGGTCTTCAAAGTGGTTTCTTCATGTTCAGTTTCAATGATCATCTGGGCAGTGTCTTAATAGTGTCACTTTTTCAATGTTAGTGTGATAATGATCAAACTCAGGGTTTTTCACACACTGCCAAACACTCTGCTGCTGAGCTGTATGTCCAGAGCTAGATGATATACTCTTAACTGTCCCATCTTTTATTTATTTCTATGTCAATATGACTCTTCACAACTCTTCCATTTGTAGGTCATGGAGAAGTGTAAGGATGCAGGATTGGTCAAGTCCATCGGGGTGTCCAACTTTAATAGCAGGCAGCTGGAGAAAATCCTGAATAAACCTGGGCTTAAGTACAAGCCTGTCTGCAACCAGGTGAGAACCCTCACACTCATCTTCTTCTCATCTACCTTTCCTTATTTCTGCTCTGATGCCTCCAGTCCATCTTGCCCTTGCTCAATTCATCTTATTTTCATGGAAGAGAAGATTCTAAGAGCAGTTTTATTGTGGCAAAGGACATTTGGAGATCCTAAAATTCAAATTTTGGACTATTAAATTTTGTGAAACGAAGCCATACCATAGTGCCCAACTGGTGCAGCATGTGGAGATTTATAGTGGTCCAGGAAGAAGATGTCAATAGTAGTATTTCAGAACCAAAGTCGACTTATCCATGAGCTGGGAAAAATGTAAGACATAGGACTACTGAAGGTGATGGCAAATGGACTGATTTATAGTGAGAAGTCCATAAAAGCATGGAATGGGAAGGAAAAGGAGAAAATGAAAGTGAAAGAGATGAGTAGGCATGGCAGCTTCACAAGTAAAGGAGTTATTCCTTCTGGTTAGCATGTCTGCTCTTGGATCTTGAAAAAGAGACATAGCTGCAAGAGTGTAAACTTGAAATTCAAAAAGCATACACATTTGTTTGATTACCTGTTTATGGTGATATTAATGTTGGATAAAATCAAACTATGAGATTGCATGCAGAACACACAGTTGACTATCTGTTGTAAAACCTCTTGTGAGCTTTTCTTTTTTTCCTTATCTCCTTAAATGCATATATTCTGTGTGTGGTCCTATGTTCTTTATTACAGTTTGATACATTATCATCATGTAGCAAAGACCTTTGGCTAGGAACTGTAGTCAACTATCTAATATGGTAGCAAAGAAGAAATTGACAGGCAGATAGAGTGTTTCACCATAGACCAGAGTAAGAAAAGCACCTTATTGAGTCAGTAGAAGAGGGCAGTGTGCTGGAAATAACAGAAGCACAGGCCTGACCACCACTCCACTGGACTATCTGTTGGAAGGCTATGCTGGCTGGTAAGAATTTGCAGTCTGTTATGGCCTGGAAGCTTTTTCTACATGTTCTGCACATGGAGACTCCCTCCTACCTCAACAAAACTTCCTGCTCTCTACCTGCCCTTATATGGTGAATGCCCTGGGCACAGAGGACTGACCTTATCTAAAAGCTGTCTCTAAGCTAGATGCCTGACTTATCTTTAGCTTAACCCTTGGCAGAGATACCTGCTAGAAGACTTGTGCTAGGAGCTCTGCTATGGGACCCTACTGTGACATAGGAAGCCTTGTGATAGGAACATTCCACATAATGCAAATTAGGGTTTGTCCAAAGGCTGCTCAATTCTACATATTCTTTATACTCTGGAATAATGTTGAGCTGATTCACTGAAGTCTGTCTCCCATAGGGCTGTCTCCATCATACACACAACTGTCCTAATCCTGTTCCCTACTTCTGCTCCCTCCATCTTCATGGACCAATAGAGGCAGGCATCTGGAGGAAGAAGCAGAACCACACGTGTTGGTTCCCTAACTTAACTCTCATGAACTTATCTGCTATTAGTAGCTTCCCCCCACAGAAAAATAGTTTTTGGATATTAAGTTTTTATATAATGACATGAAACCATGACTTTAACCATGAATATCAATTACACATGTAGATTTGACATTAATTTTTTCAAAAATTACTTATAATTTTTATCAAACATCAGAATAAATGATAGGCTAATGAAGTTTATTTCTGCTTCCTAACACATATCTCAAAATAATGGAACAAATATACCCCTATCGGTTATATCTCTCTATATATATGCAAAATTTTCTTAAATTTTTAAAGTTGCATTTGTGTGTGTGTGCATTGTGTTTTGCATGTGCAATAGTATATGCCTCTGTGTGTGTGTGTGTGTGTGTGTGTGTGTGTGTGTGTGTGTTTGACCGTGAATATGTGGAGCAAACTCAGGTCTGGCTGGCCACAAGTATCTGAACTCACTGAGCTGTCTCACTGGCTCTATTTTTGCAGCATTCTTATGAACTTACTCAAAGTAGTTTCTTTGAGTGTTCACCTTCAGAGAGCTCAGAAAAAATCTCCCACGAAAGAAGATGTTATCAGACATTGTTAGACTTATATTTAGAGAAATTAACAATAATTCTCTCACAGAATCTGAACCTGCCTGTATTTAAAATTTCCAGTGATTTCTGGAAGCATCTTCAAGCCAGCACTATGTTTTTTCTTTGTAATGTCAATTAGAATTTGAACTTCAAGATTTGTTTCATTGAATTAGTTTAACACAAGAAAAATTTTTGTGAGTCATATTAGTAATATAGACATGATATTAAGCGTTAAAGACACAGAATAAATTGATAATCTAAATGTTACATTTTATTGTTCAGGTACTTACCTTTAATGCTTCTCTTTTACATAAACATTAGCATCTCATATAATCAGATACCTTTGTGTTTGTCCATCTATAGGTGGAATGTCATCTTTACCTGAACCAGAGCAAGCTGTTAAACTACTGCATGTCAAAGGACATTGTTTTAGTTGCCTACTGTGCTCTTGGATCTCAACGACCTAAGCGATGGTAAGGACAGTAGGAACTTTACTCCAAATACCAGTGCTGGTGAAATCTTTTCAATACTATAAACTCAGGTTTCAGAAGCTCAATTTGAACTTGCTCAGAGAGAGAGTGGGAGAATAATTTGCATTTTTGAGGAGATCTTAATGATGGAAATGTTGCAGGTTCAAGGACTCCTTTGAAAACTCCTTGTTTTAAAGCCTCCTAAAAATTCTCAGCGTTTGAAGCTAAAGACTTTTGTCTTTATTTCTAGGGTGGACCCAAGTTCCCCAGTTCTCTTAAATGATCCAGTTCTTTGTGAAGTGGCAAAAAAGCACAAGCAAAGTCCAGCCCAGGTTGCTCTTCGTTACCATCTTCAACGAGGAATTGTGGTCCTTGCCCAGAGTTACAAAGAAAATGAGATAAAAGAGAACTTACAGGTGACCAGGGAGGCAGTGGGCATCAGGACTCTTACACGTCTTCTTACACACTTCTCTTCTATTTTTTCTTTGAAATCTCTCAGAGAATTTTTTGCAGAGACAATCTCCGTAGCATTTTCTATTCATGTGAGGTCTCAATTACATACAGAAATGTTTTCTTCTACTCTGTAACTAAATCAACAACTTATCTTCAAAGAAATAGATTTACAGAGAGCACAGAAATTTGGGATTCAGAATTAAGTTAGCATGTACTGTGAACATCTTTGCAAGGGATCTTTTCATTGTTTGATGAAATGAGAGTTTAAGGGTAGATATTTTCATATGATAACGTTTTGTGGCTTTATTTTGCATTTGACTTGCATATACACATATTTTATTTTTGTTCATTCATTTTGTTTAGGCAGGTGTACAGATGTTTGGCTGCATACATGTCTGTGCACCATGTTCGTGCCTGGCACTTTGAGAAGCCAGAAAAGAGCATCGCTTGCTCTGGAACTGGAGTAGTGGCTGATAGAGAACTGTCTTGTGGGTCCTGGGACTCTAACCTGCTCTGGAAGAGCAGCTTGTATCTGAGCCATCATCAGCATCATGTTCTTGTATTTTCATATGAATTTACTTACTTCTTTTGAGTTGCTTTACTGGCTAAGTGCATAGTCTTTTCTTGAAGACTTACTTATGCTGATGATTTTCTATTTTCAATGACAAGAACTTTGTCATATTACTACCTACAGCACTTGCAAAATGAACCAGCTCCAACATAGAGCTTTAATATAAAGATTATTCATTTAGTTCATTATTCTATGATTCTTACAGTTTTCTAGAGTTAAGTCTGAACTGTGAGGCATCCCTCTACCTTGAGTTCACTCAAGTATGTTCACAGAACTGTTGTATATGCTTGCAATATGATGAGGTTCATCTGCTTTGGGATTCAGTTGGTCTTTTGCTTCATGTTCTTTAGCTTCAAATAGTTTTCATCGCCTAGCCAACTGGCATAGACTTCATTTCTTCACATATTCCTCTTTTAAGACAATGCATATATTCTTGAAAAGATTTAAACCTAGGCAAATAATTATCATACCATTTATTCAGCTAAAAGCTGGGAGATGGCTCAGTGATTAAAGCTCTTGCCAAGCAAACATGGGGACTGGAGTTTATATCCACAAACTCACATAAAATTCCAGGTGGATGTCGTGTCCCTTCTAATTCCATCTTTGCATCCAGAGTTAAGGGATCCCCAGAGTAAGTTGGTTAATGAAAATAGTGACATTGGTGAGTTCTGGTCTGGTGGAGAGACCCTGCCTCAATAAATAACGTACAAGAGCTATAAGGATAAAGCCTGGTGTCAACCTCAGGCTTCCACATCTCTCTCTCTCTCTCTCTCTCTCTCTCTCTCTCTCTCTCTCTCTCTCTCTCTCTCTCTCTCTCTGTCTCATACACACAAACACACAGACACACACAAAACATTCTCTCACACACTCTTAATAAATAAATAAATAAATAAACAAACAAATAGATAAATAGAAAAAGGATAGAAACAGTTAAGATTAAAGGAGTGATAATATGGATACCACCTTTTAGTAGAAGTAGGTGCAGATTTGCATGGAGTGTGGAGATAGGAAATCAAGTTGTAGTTAATTTGTAACATTTATATCTTCATATTAATTACCTTGCAAATTCAGATACATTTATTCTATCCTAAATTCTGCTGTTTTCATTCTCTCCTTTTATCTCTCTGTGTTTATTTTCATGAGCAAAAGTTTTTCTTTTATTGTGTTTCTTCATTCCTTTACTTTGTGGTTCTTAAATAATTTTCTAAATGGCTATGTGGTGCCAACAAGAATTATTATATTCATGGATTCTCTTTGTTGTATTTATGCTCACCCATTTTCTTTTTCATTTTTTTAGGGAAATTGTTTTTCCTTTTTTAAATTTAAATTAGAAACAAGCTTCTTTTACATGTCAGTCTCAGTTCCCTCTTCCCCCTCCTCTCCTGCCCCCCACTGACCCTGGATCCCAACCCCTTTCTGTTCCCCAGGGAGGGTATATGCTCACCCATTTCAAATTATATTGGAATATCAGTCTTGCTGAACAAAATGATAATCCTTTTGGTCTACTTTCTCCTATTTAAAATATGACAAATTACCTCAATGATATGGCTGCTTAAACAAGACCTGGATAAGGCCAACACCTATAGGCACTTCTACATGTAAGGCAGAAATCTCATAAGGGAACATAACAAAGAACTACAGCCAATTACAGAATACTTAAGAGCCTAAGACCTGAAGAATTGGTCTTCCTTAGGATGAGCTCCTTAACTGTTTATCCAATCCTAAGTGGTCAACCATAAAATCATATACATACAAGCAACACCAAGCAGATTCAACAGGCTGTCTTTGTGAGTGAGTATATGTGTATTGTGTATGTGTGTAGAATAACTGAACAAAAAAGGCCATGAGTTTGGGAGAGAGTAGCAGGAAAACTTGAGCATTCTAGAGACAAAAGCATGGGGAACATGATGTAATTCTATTTTACTAAAAAATGAAAAGTACTTTCTGGGCAGATAATTCATATATTTACATATATGCATATATATGAATTTAATCATTTATTGTAGTTTACCTTGATTAAATATTTCAGTGTTTAATTATCTAAGCTTTTAGGTAGGTATTAAGCTGGTTCATCAATTGAGGAAGAACTAAAGTTTTGAAATGTTAAGAATTTTGATATGTAACTATAAGAATTTTCAATTTTAGGTTCCCTTTTAATATGTTAATAACTTTTTTAGTTTATTTTATATTAGGGCATTTTAATATATTCTGTTAGGTTTATTGATAGAGAAATGGTTCTCTTTATCATCTTTTAATAATTTATTCTTTGTTATTTTGTTAGTTTTTTAAAATAAAGAAAAGTTTACTCAGTGCTTTTTAACTAGATGTATCAGTTGCTAGATTTTCCTATTTGGTTTTTTGAGACAGGGTTTCTCTGTATTGCTTTGGAGCCTGTCCTGGCACTCACTCTGTAGACCAGGCTGACCTTGAACTCATAGAGATCTACATGCCTCTTCCCCCCGAGTGCTGGGACTGAAGGTGTGCTGCACGAACCGCCGGCTCAGTTGCTAGATTTTGATACCTTACGCTTTTTCTCCTCTCTCTCTCCTTCATCCATCCCTTTCTACACCCTTTGCCTTCTTTTATATACCAACATTTTCTGGAGAAATAAGCAAGGATTTGATGACCTATTTGTGCCATTATTTTAGAAATTAGTAAAAATTGTTCTTATGTAAAGTAACCCAAGGGCAGTCAGTGAAACCCTCAATCAAATCCTTTCTTTTTTGGAAATGATAAAATTAATAATTGAATTATTTTTGCCATATATCATATTGCAAAGAACTGTTTCTATTCACATAAATACATGAATTATAGGGTTCAGAAATACACTCTGGATTGTTTGGACATTATCGTTATGGTCTTTGAATAGCATCACCTTTGTATCTACTACATCTCCTTTTGATATATTGTACTGCTTTAACATATCTCAAAAGTGGTATCTGATGCCCATTGACTAATTGAGTATTTTGCTTGATTTCTAATAACTTTCAGAAGTTTAATGTATGTTAAAAAGTTTCCTTTGCAGAACAAAATGTGATTCACTTGGGTTTTAAAAATTTGCAAGTGGGCAGTGTCCTTAAATGTTTCTAATTGTTCAATAGGTATTTGAATTTGAGCTGCCTTCAGAGGATATGAAAATCCTAGATGGCCTGAATAGAAATTTAAGATATGCACCTGCTCCATTGTAAGTCACTCTTATCAATATGCCACAATTTATTTTAGGTTATTTGTTTTCCTTTTTAGTGAATGTTTGTTCATGGAATCAGTCACTTCATAAGTTTCTTGAAAGCTTCCATGAAGACAGTTATTTTAACTTTTATTTTTCTCATTTCTGAATTATTAATATCTCAATACTGAAAATAGTTTATGCACAAAAGATTTAAGACTAAGGAAATACTATTTAAGTAAAGAATCTCTATCACTGGTGAAATTGATAGTCTTCAAATCTTTCCTTTCTTCTTACTCTATGGCTACATAATATGATATGTTATACATATTTAAGATAAAGACAAACTAGGAATATATAATGCCTCTTATCTGTGGAGATTTTAATTCACAATGAAAGTAAATATCATAATTTTTAAAATGGGTAAACTGACTGGCATGTACATGTTCATCATTAATAAAGTATTTTATTAATAGAACAAATTGAAGATTAAAGAGGAGCCATAATGTATGTTAGAGACTGGCAAGCCTTTAGTAATTCTTACCACCTATTAAATATTTAATTAGTTATAGTTTTGCCAATTTATGTTTTGTAATGGTGCTAAACTATATAGATATACAAATTATTAGGTAAGCTTTACCCTTAGACATAGAAATCTATCTTATTAGAGACATTCTGAATGTAACAAATTATGTTGCATGAGATGGCAAGGAAATTAGTACCTATACACTATTTTCTCCACATTATCTTGTGATGCTTAATGTTTAGACTTTCATTAAATATGATATTCAGTTCCTGCTTTTACTGAGAGACTGATATGGGACATAATCTTTCCTTCTGTGCTTTGGCAGACTGACTATGGAAGCAAAAAGGAAGTAGCATGTGATAATGTCTGTATTTTCCTGCTCTAGGCTAGGGAATTCAATTTTGAAAAAATCAGTTATGCTTTTTCAAAAACATTTCCTTCATCATCATGTCTGTGAAAATAAAAATAGCAGATTTTGTAACCAGTTAGGAAAATTAAGTAGTCAAATGTAAAAATGACATAGATTTCTGCCTTTACTACCATAGAAATGAATCCAAGCATTAATATTTTATGTTTTTCTTTTCTATTTTAGTGGGGAGGGCCACCAAGAATACCCCTTTTCTGATGAATTTTAGTGTGGAGGCCTGTGACATGACTTCTATCCCAAGTCTTGGGATATATGGACACTGATGTGGGTGACATCAGAGATGCTGTCAATTGAACATCACTTCTGCTCAATCTGAACTGCTTAACAATGCAACTTCATCTAGAGCTGGGCCCACCAGTCCACCATAACTCATTAAACTTTCATTATGTTTTGAAATAATGATAACATCTTTAGTACTGTCTGTTTTTCTTGTCTGGTTTGCTTTCTTTTGAATCTCTGAGACGAAAAATTAACTTCTGTGGAAGTCTGGGCAAAGAGTTTAGAAAATGACAATTTAAGGGGTTGTACTGGGTGTAGACATTCTGCTCTAGCAAAGCTTCAGGTAGCAGGTGTTTGTGAGAATGCTCATCTGGCCTGTGAGCCAAAAAGAAAACATATTGCATGCAGTTCATGGTTCTCAGTCTGGAAGGTGGGGCATTCTTCGAAAGATTGACCAACAGTGCCAGGGTTTCTTCACAGCATCTAAATCCCAGAGCCTTGGAAATGGTGAGTAAGACATTCCAGAGATAGTGTTGGCTCATGAGGTAACAGGGGTAACAGGCGTATAGAAATATGTCATTAGGAGTTGCTATGTTCCTTTATTAGAGCAGCAGTAGTAGGTTTCTCCTAGAGCCTATGACCTATTTAATCTCAGGTTTTTGTCCTCATTAACAATGTCAGCTTGCATCTTTTGTAGCAGGCCTTAAATCTAATAAAGTGGGGTTGGGCTACTTCCATAACATTTATGCCACTATTCCACCAGTATATCTTGCCAACAAGTCACTGTTGCCAGTTGCAGGGTTGGTAGATGAGTGATATTTATGATTGCCTTTCTCCTCTGGTAGCATGAAAAGTACTTTTTAGCACAATGAACACTAATCAGTAAGGTTGAAGCTTCCAGTTGTGCAGCAGATTTATTTCTCTATATTTGATAACATAAATAAATATGATATTACTCATGAAGAGCCTATGTTTCCCAGACTCTAGAGCATCTTCTTATTTTAATAATAATAATAATAATAATAATAATAATAATAATAATAATAATAATAATAATAATAATAAAAGTACAACTTCAAATAAATGAAAATAGTAACAACAAAATACCAAAAAAGTGTGGGGCTATGAAGTCTCACATACTCTCATGGAAACATCAATGATTTACTTGATATTGGCTAATTGACATTATCCAGATTCTTTGAATAGTCTAGTATCTACAGCAACAAAATAAATAGCCAAACAAAATTATTTCAATTGGCAGGAAATTTTACTGTTTTTTTTTTTTTAACTCAGCTTTGCGAAACATGCAAGTGTGATCTTGGTTGATAGGTCGCATCCACAGTTAACCAATTTCTTGCTTTTAAGTAGAGTAATTATCCTGGAAGTTACAATAATCTATCTTATTGGTCTCATGTTTTGAAATTCATCAGAGCAAAGTTACGCTTATCATCCTCTAAAATGATTTACCCTTTCCTCTCATCCCTGGATGTACCTTAACATCATAGACAACTGCTGAAACTGGGGCAACACCTTTGGTTTATGGTGCTGTTTTTATTTATCTTAGAAACAATTTTCCATAGGAAAATTATTGGAATATTGGCCAATATTTGTTTCCATAATATGGAAAACTGACCATGGTTCCACAACATTTGAAGAGAGAATTTGATACCTTTTTAGATATCATACTGCCTCTTCCTCATTTTTTTAAAAAATTCCTTCCTCTTTAAAAATTACCCTTTTATTGAAAATAGATTCTTTTCTCATACAATATATCCTGATTACATTTCCCCTTCCCTCCATTCCTCCAATTTCTTCCCTACCTCTCCTCCATTCCACACCCACTCCCTTTCTGTCTCTCATTAGAATGAAATGGGCTTCTAAGAGAGAACAAACAAGAAAATAAAATATAAGATAAAACAAACCATCACATCAAAGTTGGACAAGTCAAACCAACAGAAGAAAAGGATCAACCAAGGAAAGAACAAGATTCAGACCTACTCATTCATATACTCAGGAGTCTCATAAAAATACTAAATTGGAAGCTATAATTTTATTACTACTCTTTTATTTTCTTTAGTTTTTTTCTTTTAGACAAGTAGTATGTAGTTTTATCCTGGGCCTCTGTGATGGAAGATGTCCTTCTGTGTATATGTTTATCTTATTTGTTGTTGAATAAAGCACTGTTAGCCAATAGGGAAGCAAGATAGGTGGGACTAGGAGTTGAAGAGGATTTTGGGAAATGCAGTAAGAGCAGAGTCACCTTGTGATCCCCAGGGAAGACAGAACACATAAGGTCGGCATCCTTGATACGTCTTTATAAAATATATAGATTAATAGGTTGATAATTAAGACTGAGCCAGCAGATAAGGAATCCTAGTCATTGGCCAGCAGCCAATGACTGTACCTAATATTAGTCTCCGTGTGTTATTTTGTGTACCCCTTGGTGGTGGGCTCCGGCGTCTGGTGGAAAGAGTTATTGTTGTACCTCTGGGCTATCTAGTCTTTGGTTCTTGGTTACCCAAATAGTGCAGCTTATGAATTCCATCATCTGGAATGGGTCTTAAGTCAAATCAGAAATTGGTTAGTACTCCTACATGCTTTGTGTCACCATTGCCCTATTGTATTTTTGCAGGCAGGATAGTGTTGTAGAGGAAAGGTTTTTGTATCTGGGTTAGTGTTTACCGTTTTCTTTTGGCAGTCTGCAGAGTAACTTCCCTTATCAAAGTCACTAGAATGTAAGGATGAAGGCTCTATATAGGTATCAGTTCAAACTCTCCATTTTCAATGTGCTGTATGGGTGTTGTATTCAGCAATGGGGCCTTAGTGTCAGTATATGCAGAACAACCAAATGCCCTGTCAACAGGTAGTATTGTTTGGGGATTTCCTTTGGGACTTTTTGTCAACAGTTCAATTGGAACTAACACAGTCCTATTACTGGAAGCTTCATTTGGTGACTCAATCTTCCTCATTATTTGAAGACTCTAGTAGGATCACCTTCATGTAATTTAGAAGTTTCTACTGTACTATGTTGCCTTATAACTCTTCAAATGCCTCTCAGGTCCAGCTGTCTCGACCCTCTTTCCCTTCATTAGCCCCATTTCCCCTTCACCTTCCCACTACATCCTCCCATTCACATCCCCCTTGTCCCAACTCCATCCATAAAACCTATTCTATTTACCCCTCCAAGAGAGATCCATGTATCCTATCTACTCACTAACTCTATACCTAATCCCTCAATGTCTACAGATTATAGTCTGGTTATCATTTATTTAATGTCTAATATCCACATAGGAGCAGAATACATACCATATTTATCTTTCTGTGTCTGGGATACATCACTCAGGATTATTTTTCTATATTCATTTGCCTAAAATTTTCATGAATTCAATTTTATAAGTGGCTGAGAAATACCTCATTGTGTAAATGTACCACATTTTCTTTATCCATTCTTCTGTTGAAGGACATCTAGGTTGTTTCCAAATTCTATCTATTTTGAATAGAATAGCAATGAACATGGTTGAACAAGTGCCCTTGTTGTAGGATAAAGCATCATTTGGGCATATGCTTAAGAGTGGTATAGAAGGATTATGAGGTAGATAAATTCTCATCTTTCTTTGGAAATGGTACACTGATTTCCATAGTGTCTACACTGCCATCAGCATTGGAGGAAAGTTCCAGTTGTTCCATAACCTACCCAACATGAGCTGTCACTTGTATTATTGATTTTAGTCATCCTGGTAGGTGTAAGATGGAATCTCAAAGTAGTTTTGATTTGTATTGCCATAAGGCTAAGGATGTTGAACATTTAAGTGTTTCTCAGCCATTTGAGTTTCCTCTACTGAGAATTTTGTTTAGACTTATATCCCATTTTATTTATTCATTTCTGTCAATTTTTTATTTGAATTAGAAACAAGATTGTTTTACATGACAATATCAGTTCCCTTCTCCCTCCCGTCTTCCCCTACAACGCACCCCAAACTAAAACCCTACCTATCACATATCCTTTCTGCTTTCCTTGGATAGTGAGGCTTTCCATAGGGTGTCATCAGAGTCTTTTGTATCCTTTGGGATAGGGCCTAGACCAATCCCCATGTGTCGTGGCTCAGGGAGTATTCCTCTATGTGGAATGGGCACCCAAAGTCCACACCTGTTCTAGGGATAAGTACTGAACAATGACAGGAGGTCCTGTAGATTTCTGAGGTTTCCTCACTGAAATCCATGTTCCTGGCATCTGGATCAGCCCCATTCTGGTACCCCAGCTAACAGTCTGGGGAGCAAGAGTTCCCTGTTGTTCAGGTCAGCTGTTTCTCTGGGTTTTTCACTAGCCTGGTCTGGACCCCTTTGCTCCTCACTCGACCTTCTCTGCATCTGGATTCCATTTCAGTTCAGTGATTAGTTGGGGGTGTCTGCTTTTACTTCCACCAGCTGCTGTATGAGGGCTATCAGGTGGCATATTGTCAGTCATCAATCTCATTATCAGGGGAGGTCATTTAAGGTACCTCTCCTCCATTGTTCTTGGATACGATTTGCCAATATTTTATTGAGTATTTTAGCACTGATGTTCATGAGGGATATTGGTCTGTAGTTCTCTTTCTTAGTCATATCTTTGTGTGGCTTGGGTATCAAAGTGATTGTAGCCTCATAGAAAGAGTTTGGTGATATCCCATCTGCTTCTATTGTGCAGAACACTTTGAGGAGTACTAGAATTAGCTCTTGATTGAATTTCTGGTAGAATTCTGCAGTGAAGCCATCTGGCCCTGGGCTCTTTTTGGGAGAGTCCAAGTTGGGAGGCTTTTGATGACTGCTTCTATTTTGTTAGGGTTATAGGTCGATTTAAACTGCTTATCTGTTCTTGGTTTAATTTTGGTTAGTGATATCTATCCAGAAAACTGTCCATTTCCTTTAGATTTTCGAATTTTGTGGAGTACAGATTTTCAAGGTATGACTTGAAGTTTCTCTGGATTTCCTCGGTGTCTGTTGTTATATCCTTCCCTTTTTTTGATTTTGTTAATTAGCATGCTCTCTCTCTGCCTTTTGGCTAGTTTGGCTAGAGGTTTGTCTATCTTGTTGATCTTCTCAAAGAACCAACTCTTTGTTTCATTGATTCTTTGTACTCTTTTCCTAATTTCTACTTTATTGATTTCAGCCCTCAGGTTGATTATTTCCTGGCATCTACTCCTCCTTGG